GCCTGACCACCAGGCATTTTGCGAAATGCCTAGGCAGTTTGCAAACTGCCTGACCCACCAGGCATTTTGCGTACTGCCTAGGCAGTTTACAAAATGCCTGGCGGGTCAGGCATTTTGCAAAATGCCTGAGTTGTGATTGATTTATTTTACCGTTTTTGTTTACCACAGGCGTTGACCATGTCGCTCCCATGTGCCTGAGCCCCAAACACATTCAATATTTACGAATATACCCACGTCTTGCGCCACTTCCGTCGAGATGGAACCACTACTGAATGGTGTAGATTGAGCCAACGTCTCCCTATAATTTTCGCATACGGAGTTGTAGCCGTTCGTGTGTAGGAATGCTGCGATGGGGCGCGGAGCATGGCACAGAGAAACAAGGGCGCGGAAAAACGCGGCGACCGGCCGAATATTGACCCGACATTCTTCGTTTCCCGTGCTTATTTACATCACGGCAAGAGAGGGCCGCAGCGATACGGGGTTGCCAGCGATCAATAGAACAGAGACAAGCGTATCCAATAAACATTTTTGTTAATCACGTGTCACGTGGAAAGAAATGGTCTATATCTTGAGAAATCAGCCATTTTTGGTACATTTCAGGAAAAACAGCATTTAAAAACAATGGCAATGCATTGGAATGAGATGAGATACATTCCATAGACAACAAGAACATGTGGCTTTTACGCTTTTCCAGAAAAGCAAGTTTTTGGTCATCCACGACCCACGTGCACACCTTTGTAATAAAAAGACGCTTAGAAATTACAAGTTTTACATGCAACGGGCATGTTCATCTTTACACAGTCACAATGCATAGATAATGTAGACGTGTGGCTCGCCAACCAAGCTACCATACATCGAAAGAACATTCTTTTCTGATCAATATCCACACAAAGTATTTCCAGAGTCATCAAGGCTCGTAGAAACATAACCGTGTTTAACGCGTGTTTACCGATAAAACCGCGCCGGGCGCCCGGTAGCCGGCGCGGCGGCCGGGCCGCTCGCGCTGCCTCGGGCTCAGTGACATTGATCTCGGCAGCGCTACCCGGAGAATGTCTCACTGTGTGTCCTCCAGGGGGGCGACACGGCTATTCGCGCAATGTATTCATTTATGGGCCGCGCGGGGCCTCGCGATGACGCGGCTGGAGGCAACTGCCCAGCGCGCTAGGATACTTCTGGCGGGGCCGGGCGCTGAACGGTGTGCAATGAATGGGTTATGGTCGGGCAGAGATGAGGCATTGAATTTGAATTGACATCAGCAATCGGGTGGGGAAGGAGAACGTTTCTAATCGAGCTTGGGATGGGGAAAGCCGAAAATATCACGATCGGCTCATAGCTCCGACAGGGCCGGGTGCTGTACCATGTGTAGTATATTTAGGCGGGCAGACAGAGATGAGTTATTGGATTTAAATTCACCTTACCATCGGTTTCTGGTGAGGTTTGAAGACGTCTTTAGTCAAGCTCGGAGTGGGGCAACGGCCACTGGCGGATCCAGGGGAAGGCATTTGGGGCAAATGTCTTCCCCAACAACCATAGGGCAGCGCCCGAAATCGATTTTCGAGAATAAATGAAAACTTTACAACTTTTCTGAGGAAATGTTGGTTAATCACACCGCACAGCAGTCGCAAGGAATCGAAATATGAGTTTTTCAAATTAATTCCGAGAAACCTTTTTGGGGTAAGCCCCCGCAGTGTCCAATACCGCTTCCTGGATCCGCCAGTTGTGAATAAGTCACGGTCGATACCGAGCTTCGGCGGGACCAGGCGCTGTACACGTTGTTCTTTGAATGAAGAGGTGGACAGTCACCTAGCCCCACATCCTACTGCTATGCCCGTGCTTCTGTGGGTGAAGCACTAAAGCATCACGGAATCCCAGAGGACCCATGCGAGTCGACGAGGTGGCCGCTTTGGCCGCCGGGTACTGCAGCTCCCTGGAGTTGCCTGGGACCGATGGCAAAACAACAGCTCCGGCGGTGCCCCTATGGGCCGTAGTAATTAGTGAATTCCCGTAATGTGTAGAGATCATATCCTCAATGATCTCCATTACCATTTTATATTCCTAAACAATATGACAGACCAATTATGCTTGCCTACGTTCAGGCATTACCTCTGATGGTCATACGCCCAGTACAACATGTGTTGTCTGTCAAAGAACAATCGACGACGGGATCCCTTCTCATCATCTTAAGCCATCGGTTGTCAATTCACCCACCCCGTTTCCCTAAAAATAGACGGTCAGATTCGGCCTGGGTCCTTACGACCCCTCTAAATTCGCCAGAGACGGGATCGGATCGCCGTTATTGCACCCGTCTTAGTGTCTTAACCCTCGCCCGCACATGGGGGGGGGGGGGTGGTTGCCACCCCCCCCCCAGGCAGTCTTTCTGCTCTGCACTCAACATTTTTAGAGCTAGAAGGCTGATTTTTCGTATAGCTGCTCGTCTATCCTTTCTTGATGTCCACTGAAATTTTCAAGTTTCTGTGATTTTTGGTTTCGGAGATATGACCTTGTTTTTCAGGTCATGTCATGACCCAAATGGCCAATTCTCAACATCTTGCGTTTGCCATGGGCCTTGTGAGCTTTTGACACCCTGATTTCGGCCTTTTTTGCCAGTCTTACCTCCCACCTATCATGGAACATGTTGTTCGACGATGTACAGGGGTCAAGGTCAGGGTCAAGGTCAACCTAGGTCATCTAAGATAATTGCGTTTTAGGCAAGCTGAATTTACTTTTTGTGAAGTTTTTTGACTGCATTTTTGGTAAAAGCTTCTCAGATCATGATTTCATGTGATATGAACCCAAAAACAATCGGTGCACACATCAGTATACACACAGACACACACAGACATACAAACACATATAATTGACCTTGACCTAACTTGACCTGAAATGACCTCAGCAGCAAAATTCTGGTCGGATAGTGTGACAAAGAGGTTCTAGCTGGCTTGGCACCAGAAAACAGCATCGTCATCGGTATTTGATAAGCAGCGCACTTGATATCCAACGGTGACCCAAAACAGCAACATTTTTTAGTTTGACCTGACCTGGAAGGTCAATGACTGACCTGAGAAGGTAAAACTGGGTATCATTGGATTCGTCTCTTCCCAAAGAATCTTTTTCGTCTTTACTGCTAAGCTCTATCTCCAACAGGAACGAAATGGCGCGGGGGGGGGGGTGGCAACCACCCCCCCCCCCCCATGTGCGTTCTAGGATGGGAAAATGGCATGTGCGGGCGAGGGTTAAAGGGACCCTCCCACCTTAACATTAGTTTTGAGTTGAGATAGCCAAGTTTGCGGCCAGGCTCAGAAACCACCATTTATCCTGGTCGCAACCCCCGCAGCTTTATGGTGTTCAAGAAATGTCTTCCCTTTACTTGCAGGGTGGGACCAGCGTGGTCCCTATCTCTTAACCATTACGGGAATCTGATGACGTCATCAGGCTTTCAAACGTCCGTTAAATGTTTGACTAAAACGTTTTGTAGCACGCGGTGGTATATGCTGCTTTGCGCGCAAGAAATGCCGCACTTCCAAATAAATTCGCTAGGAACAGCGGAGATCCCAAAAAGTAAACAAAAGTAAAAGTCGTAATATCTTGAAAACCGGTGAATATTTTTCGATGAAATTTGGTAGATATTCGTTTTTGCTCTTTCTGAACCGAGCGACATCACTTTCATGCCAATTCATTAACTTTTTTGAAGGTGGGAGGGTCCCTTTAAATACTATGACAGCTTCGACCACGGACGTCGGACGGGGTGATCGTTCCACGAATGTACGCACCATCCAGGCCTAGGATGCATCGAGGTTTAAAAGGATACAGTCTGTAGATCAATCAACAAACAATGGTGGTATGCAACCACTTTAAAATATCTCCCTGGCTCCCGCAACGTTCCAACGCCCCTCCGTTATGCATTCGCCCTGTGTGTCCGCCGAGCCGGCTTGCCTCCAATGACGTCATCGGCCGGCCGGCGGCGTTCAAGGTCAAACGGCTGGTGTCCTTACCTGGAGTTCTATAGCCTTGGTGTCCTCCCACTTGGTGCCCTATCGCTTGTGATTAACCGCTGTTGGCGGCACTTACAATGATGCTTACGCATCGTCGCTGGTGTGAGTTCGATGTCAGGCATTTTGCAAACTGCCTGAGAAAATAATTTCAGGCAGTTTGCAAAATGCCTGGTGGGCCAGGCAGTTTGCAAACTGCCTAGGCATTTTGCAAAATGCCTGGCCGGTCAGGCATTTTGCAAATTGCCTGGGCATTTTGCAAAATGCCTAGCCAGTCAGGCATTTTGCAAATTGCCTAGGCATTTTGCAAAATGCCCGAGTTTTCACTTTGCCTGTAACAGAGACATAAAATCTGGTTCTATGATCATGTGGAAAAGAGTTCAACATTATCTCGCCCATTATCCTTATGCCTCCTTCCTAATTCACCGAATGTCGAGTGTTGTTACGTCATCTGATGATGTCATTGGTTGGCTATGTCGTGACATGGCATGACTGACCGAGGCACCGTGAAGTCACTTTACGAATTGTTGTGAAGCCATTATAGTTATTTACAAGTACCTGCACAAAATAATGGTTCCGTGCCTATGCACGCGACACCGTCTTTAAATGGTGTGATCCGATACCGGTCTTTGTGTTAGCGGAAACTCGAGTAAAATATCGACTTCAGCCGTGGCCCGCGGTCCGTACCTCGCTGCGAAGCTCATTTCGTGACAATAACGTGCCCTTTCTGCGTGCAATGCCTTTTTTTTGGTGGCCGCAACTTTCGTTTTTAGCCTCGTGAGGAGGTAGGGCATCCCGTGACTCGTGTGCTGTGTCTCAGTCATCAATCCCTAAAACTCCCGGTATGACATTTTCTCGCAACAGACACTGTCACGCACAGCCGAACGACTTAGTCACTCGCAAGGCCGTCATGCGAAAGACTGCCTGACTGTCCGGTACGTGGTATTCCACCTCATGTCAATTATCAGAACTTTCAACGTTTCATCGGCAATATTATCTGTCCTATTTCAGGGTTCGCGGAGGAGAGCTCTTCGAGTTCGTCACGGAGAAAGATCATGTCAGCGAAGCAGAGGCGGCGCTATTTATCAAACAGATCCTGCGCGGTCTGGAGCATATGCACTCGAAGAGGATAGCACACCTGGATTTGAAGGTGAGATGAGGCTTGATTTGAAGGTCAGAAGAGGCTGGTGGATTCGGGAACCATTTGCATTTGCAGGGCATATAGCCCTGTCGTCTGCATTGCATTAAACTTATTTAAATTGCCGCTTTCCCCATACATATATAATGGAATGTTTAACCAATCAATCTTGACTAAATTTGAGAGTTGAGGCCCTATTCGTCAATATTATACATACAGTATGTTAGTAACACACGATAGGTACCGATAGGTATGCTACACTCCGAGGGTGATAAAATAACTTCTGTCATTCTGCAGCCGGAGAATGTGATGCTTCTAAGCAAGAACCGTCCTCAGCTGAAGCTGATCGACTTTGGCCTCAGTCGGCGCATAGAGCCCGGACAGGAGCTGCGGAATATGCTCGGTAAGACGGTGCTGCGTAATTCGGGAGACTCCAGCACGTGCAAGGCCCGGGGAGCAGCGTAACGCTACGGTCAACAACGAACATTTGCTTGGACTGGAGCGTTACATCCATTGTACAAGGTACAGGTCTCGCGAGATTAAGCGGTAGGTTTTGCACTTTTACATTTCCGGTTATATCTCAGAAACTAATCGATCTACGATGAAGCCATTTTACACGATCATGGCCGGCTTGTAACCCAACAAGTCGATCGCATCTTCAACACTTAAAAGCTTAAGACGACGAAGATATAGCCTGAAGTACACTAAATTTTCTAGGTGCAAAACCTACCGCTAAAACCCGCTAGCCCTGTACATTTATGATATATAGGTATACAATCCCTTGATGTTTTCAGATGTATGTCGCTAAAGAAGGCACCACAATGTTGGCGTTCCGGGCATTCACGGCAATTAAGTATCTATTGAGTTTCACACATCAATAATACCTATGTGTTCGATGTGCGGATGTGACGCGAATTATACGTTATCATGTTGTTTATTCACAGGTACACCGGAGTTTGTGGCGCCGGAGATTATCAACTACGAGCCGCTGGGCCTATCGTGCGACATGTGGGCGGTCGGAGTCATCACATACATACTGTGAGTCGGTGTCGAGTCATCACATACATACTGAGTCGGTGTCGAGTCATTGCATGCATACTGTTAGTTGGTCCGGAGTCATGGAATAAAGTGAGTCAGCTTCAAGTCATCACATGCCTTATGCCTACATGACATACTGTTAACCCTCGCACGACCAGGCCATTTCTCATAACACGAACGACCAGGGGGGGGGGGGGGTTGTTACGACCCCCCCCCTGGCGTTTCGAAACGGAAGGTCGTAGAGCTTAGCGGAAAAAACCAACGGATTGCTCTCAACGAGATCTCGCGATTGGTGGTATATTTTTTGGTCCTAGGTCAACATTTGACCTACTTATGACCGGTCAAAGGTCAAATTTTCCGAAAAAATCAAACTTTTTCAACTTTCCGCGGCGATTGCGGCAAAACGGTGGGAGATATCGACTTGAAACCTTCACTATCGTGTTCCTTGATCAATTCTCTATCGTTTGGTATGTATTTCGTTTCCCTAGCTCTAAAAATGGCGCGTTGGGAGCGCCGGAAGTCGGCAAGGTCACAGTCGGCGGCAGAAATTCGAAAAATCAAAATATAAATTTTTGAAATCTGATTGTATTTTTGGATTTGGGAGGTCCATTTGCTCCCTATAGAAGCTAATATTGCTGCATATTCCCATTGAGGTGACAAGAATTAGCAAAATAGTGGTTCGGGCGCTTTCCAAAAATAGTACCGGACGCTGTTCCTCTTGTGACGTCATAGCTCCGTGACCTGACCTGACCCGGTCAATTTTCTTGCACCACACGATAGCCAATGCTTGCCCCAACATGCATGGGAAGTTTCATCATGATCCATCAAACAATGTGGGTATCACCGGCAGAAAACCTAGGGATTCGGCGCACACGTTTGGTAACTGTCGGCCGGAGGCTGTACCTCTTATGACGTCATAACTCCGTGACCTGACATGACCCGATCAATTTTTTTTCGGCAAAAGATGCGCAAATGTTGCCCCAGAGGGTATTGAAAATTTCAGCCCGCTACGACAAGCCGTTTAGCGTGCACTTCGAAAAAACCTCAGGGGGGGGGGGGTGATACAACCCCCCCCCCTAGGCGTTCTAGGGTTAATCGGTCTGAAGTTACCGCACACTTCAAAGTTGCATGCGAGTCGGTCAGAGTCAAGGACCGAACCAAGTAGGAATCAGGACCTTTATGCCGTTAATCGATCATAGTTACCACTCATGATGGGTCAAGTGGCGTCGCCAATTCACGATTCAGTTTAGAAGTGTTGATATGTTCGGTGTCGACAGGGCACCCGTGTCACATCTCCGGAATGTCATGTTCTTTCCTAATTCCCTGACGCCCCTCCCCTTCTCCCGTAGACTGTCGGGCGCGTCTCCGTTTCTCGGGGACTCCCAGCAGGAGACATACGCCAACATTGTGGCGTGTGACTACCGGTTCGATGAAGAGTACTTCAGCGGCACCTCAGAGGCGGCCAAGGACTTCATCGCGCGACTGTTCGTCACCGATCCCAGGTAGAGCTATAGTCACCGTGGCTATACCATATGTCGTCAGTTCCTATTGTTGCAAACGCATCAGTATTGTTGGGGCAAAAAAGTTCGTCGTTTGTCCAGATCTGGTTTGAAATTGAACTTTTAACATATTTTTTTTTCTCAAATAAATTGGCATCTTCCCAATGATTGAAGTGTTTGCGCCCCATTTCAACACTGTCAACTACCATTGCTCTGACAAAGAGAAATAAGAACGGTCCACGAATATGAGACCTTTACGAGTCTGTTGTCGTTTGTTCGTACCTTATCTCATCTCGGTACGGTGTTCCAGGAGCTGTTTGTTGCGCTCTTTCCCGGCAATGCTCTACCGGCTCGCTCTGATTTCCTGTGAATGTTGTGCCAGCGTCCGGCCTCATGCAATGTCAGACACTGTCAGTGTCTCCATCTAAAGCTGGGAATGCTTTCCTAGTGTCCCATGTCGTCATTGTGAAATGTCATCGTCTTGGTGTCATTTTTTCGGCTCGATAGCTATTAGCTACCATACTTCCTCTGCTTAGCGTTTGGTCGCTGACGTAATGCACAACTAGATGCGCCACCTCTGAGGATGCTTGGATGATCAGCTAGCCCCTTCACCCAACCTCACCCAGCTGTTTGAACCTCCATTGGTGTCGGCTGACCCCCGTTTCAGCTTCCGATATCAGTCCAGCCATTCTCGGTATCTCCAGAGCCGCATTCCTAGGGGCCGACCAACATTCCATGAGGGGACCAGAACCGGGTCAAAGTCTGAGACAGCTCCAGCTGAGGCGGTGTGGGGTGACTGATCAGGAAGTTACTGCAGTACCTAACCGGTGTAATGCTACCCATCACACCTGATCAGCCCAGTTCCATGAGTTATTATTGTGTCTTATAAGCTATTTGAGCGATACCGTAACTGTTGAGTCTTTCTTTTGTGCCTGTCTCTTATATTTATCGTATTTCTGCCACCAGGCACCGTGCCACTGTGCAAGATTGTCTCAACCATCCCTGGATTCATGTGAGTCGCTGATATTTTGTTTTCTAGCTTTATTGTGATTTGTTTATAATGCATTGTTGTCGTCTTCCTCTTGTGCGTGGCCAGTTACTATAACCAGCACACTTCAAGTACTTACTTGTTTACGGAAAGCGAATGAGGTTTTGCAGAAATCGTTCTCGTTTCATGTTACGACTTACGACTCTTTGTTGTTTCATACATCAACATCGATTCAATATGTGCCTTTTCTAGCCGCCGACCAAGCTGCAGATGACGGAGCTACGTGTGAATACCGTCAACATCGACAACCTGAAGACGTACCAGGCGCGAAGGAGGTGGAAGGTACGTGACTGGAGCGGACAGACTGCACTGCCACGGCGGTGACAGGACGCCACGGACAGAGAGGCAGGGATTATTTTTGTTTGTTTGTTGGGTTAGGCCCTTTCGGTCTGACAAGACCATTTCAGAACGGGAAGGATGATAGGAATTAGGGGGAGACACTGGTCTGGGCAGACACCCTAGAGAGTCGCCGGGGCTGAGCCCGTCCGGAGCCCCCCAAGCACTCTGCACCCGGCTACGGGGTGCGCTCCCTCGGGAGCAGCGGATTGAAGTTTTTTTATACTATTTTTATTTTTCCATAAACGACGGCGGTGTGCAATACAACTTGAACCCCCCACGTTTACATGAAGATTCCAATACTCGTGTCCGCTCTGCTTATCCCACTGTAAATGCTAGAATGCCTCAAAATTATTCACTGCCTCATGCCTGCTTTTTTAACCAAAGACCGCCTCTCCGAACTATGTGTTGTAATGTAACTAAGATCGCTGTTTGTGTCCCCCAGCTGTCGCTGCGTGTCATCACGCTCTGTAACCGGCTGTCTCGGAGCGCCAAACTGCGCAGCCGCAGTCAGAGCCTCGAGCTGCTCGACGAGGGCGCCCAGATGTCGGCCGTCTCCGTCAGTGACCTGGCCGTGGCCGCGTACCAGGTCAGTCGGCGGTCAGCGTCATGAATAAATACAAAATACGGGGTACTTATAACTGTGCCTTCTAATTTTTAACGTTGTTAGACAGTGAAATTGGCCATATCTCGAGTTTGTAGACAAGTTTGCATGCTTCTATTTTCCTGTCGTTTCAAGCTTCGGCGGAGAAGCAACCTAGCGTATATTGGTGGACGTAAAAAACAGCGAATGACGTAGGTACGAGATAGGTACCTCGTAAGGTGACAGATTAAAGATAGATGCCGTTGGCTCAGACATCGGCGAATGGCACCAACTCTAATCCTCCCCGATACGGTACCTATACACCGGCAGTGTGACGTCACTCCCAACTGATACTTGTACTTCTCGGTATTTCTGACCGATAACTCCACACTGGGTGGATTGTATCATGAGCCAGGACCAGGAGGAATCGTTCGATAGACGTTTGTACCTCCTTGAAGTCGACATGCTGCTTTTGATTCACACCAATGCTTATCTCTTCGGACAGGATGAGAGTTTTGTTGTGTCTGCTCTCTTCTGCGCTGCGGAGGAGGGCAACGTCGCTGGAATCAAGAGGCTCTTCTCGATGGCGAAAATCGACCCCAATGTCTCAAACCGAGTAAGCGGATTACCAAAGCTCAAAGGTGCATGCATGTGTTTGGTACTATGTGTTATAAGCCGTTATTGTTCTTTATCGCTCATAATGCTGTCTGTCTGCTGTGTGGTGCTGCTAATGTATTTTCGTCGTAAAGTAAAGCTTAGAACGTCACGAATAACAGTATGTGCTTGGCGTTACCATCTAGGATCAACTGTTCCTGAATGCTTGGATTAAATTTAACGGTGGCTAAGGATTAAGAATAGATTACCCATGTGGTTATCAAAGGCGGTAGACGGCAACTTCAAAAGAATGACAGTGGTCGGTGGCCTGGAATAGCTAACAATATCTGGTCCGGGTTGTCAGTCTGGTTATCTCGCCTCAGTCTCCAATCTTCATGCCCGCCGCAACTTTCCATTCGTTACGTCACTTTTTCGTTTTATTATATCCTGTTCTCAACATTCCGTGCGAACATATGGCAGCCTCATTATCACATCACTCACATGTACCAATGCAATCATCTTACAGCAAGGTGAGACATCAGTTCACGTGGCCGCTGGAGTGGGACAACTGGAGGTGGTGCAGGCGCTAAGGTCAAAGGGCGCCGAGCTGGACAGGGTGGACGAGCGCGGCGACAGTGCTGCCATCTGGGCGGCTCGGCACGGCCATCCCGCTGTGCTGAGCTACCTGATCGCGGAGGGCGCCGACGTCGACTGCAAGAATAAGGTGAGAGGCGTGAACTGCGAGGAATGAGAATATTATATTCCCATTGTCTGAGAGTTGAATTAACAAAAATTCTACCAATGAACCACTAAGTGTTTCTATAGTAGGACGGTGCGACCATTGAGTTAAAGGGACCCTCCCACCTTCAAAAAAGTTAATGAATTGGCATGAAAGTGATGTCGCTCGGTTCAGAAAGAGCAAAAACGAATATCTACCAAATTTCATCGAAAAATATTCACCGGTTTTCAAGATATTAGACTTTTACTTTTGTTTACTTTTTGGGATCTCCGCTGTTCCTAGCGACTTTATTTGAAAGTGCGGCATTTGTTGCGCGCAAAGCAGCATATACCACCGCGTGCTACAAAACGTTTTAGTCAAACATTTAACGGACGTTCGAAAGCCTGATGACGTCATCAGATTCCCGTAATGGTTAAGAGATAGGGACCACGCTGGTCCCACCCTGCAAGTAAAGGGAAGAAATTTCTTGAACACCATAAAGCTGCGGGGGTTGCGACCAGGATAAATGGTGGTTTCTGAGCCTGGCCGCAAACTTGGCTATCTCAACTCAAAACTAATGTTAAGGTGGGAGGGTCCCTTTAAGTGTTGTTCTGTTTCGCCCTAAAGTGTGGAGAGACCCCGCTTCTGGTCGCCTGCAAGTACGGGCACGGTCCCGTGGTGCGAATACTGTGCGAGGCTGGCGTGATACTGGATACGCAGGATGACGTGAGTACTGCGTGCCACAAACGGCAGACTCCAGCATGCACCGGTCACTTTCGTGTTTCCTGCTATCTAAGAACATTTTGGTCAAGTTAAATGCTCATTTTATTCATTTTGTGGCAGCATTGCCTGATTACTTAACAAAGCATGCATATTTTTCATTATTTAATTATCTTGTTAGTGATGCGAGGCTTGAACATTCAACCATATTTGCAACGCCGCATGAATTTTGTTGTTGCTAGATGGTGAGTGTTGCTTACCTATTAAATTCGTCACTGTAGGCGACATTGTTGTCCCGCTCATTCACTACAACATTATGTCTGCCATGCACCTGCATGTGTGTGTGTGTGTCTGCTCATTTGATGACCGTTTTGTCTGCCTCGACACGCATATGTGAATGTCCCGTACTTGAGTTCACTCAGCGCTCGTGTCCGAGATGTTGTGCTTGTGTTTGTGTGTGTTTATGTTTGTTTGTACCGCACGGATAGTCGCTATTAGTGATGTCAATTACGGAAAATCGGAATACCAATACCAAACCAACTACCAACCAAAACCGTGGAGAAATACCGAAACCAAACCAACTTGGGGACATGAGGAAAATACCAACTTTTTACCTATTTCTTAGCCTCTTAAACATTAGCGAGGGTTCATGATACCAACAAAATACCAAACACATTAGGATTGAAATACCAAATACCGAGTTGGTATCGGTTTGGTATCGGTATACCAAAAAGTTGGTATCCGATTGACATCTCTAGTCGCTATTGTGTCCGGCTGTGTTCGATTGTTTGTGTTTGTACGGCAGCACGGATAGTCGCTGTTGTGTCCACCCGTGTCCAATGGTTTGTGTTTGTGTGACAGCACGATGAGTCGCTATTGTGTCCGGCTGTGTTCGACTGTTTGTGTTTGTGTGACAGCACGGAGAGTCTGCTCTGCACGCCTCCGTTTGGCACGGTTTTCCGCTGCTGACTCAGCTGCTGATCGCTGCCGGAGCCGACACAGATACTGTGAACCAGGTGAGATGGCGGACTACACTGTAAACCAGGCGAGATGAACCGACATTGGGAACCAGGTGAGATGAAACAGACACTGTGAACCAGGTGAGGTGACGGACTACATACACTAACACCGTGAACCAGGTGAGATTGCGAACTACATTGTGAACCAGGTGAGGAGGCGGACGATACCGACACTGTGAACCACGTGAGGTGGCAAACTACACCCGGTGCACCGACACTGTGAACCAGGTGAGGTGGCGGGCTACACTCGATACACCGACACTGTAAACCAGGTGAAGTACCAACCTCTCCGATACAGAGGTGGCAGCAGCGTGCACTTTCGCTTCGCATTTTTTTTTTTGTGTGTGTGCCGCTCCGTACTTCACACCACGCATTCCAAGGTTGTTAACGTTATTGAGTCGGTTCAGTCCCCATGGGTTCATATAAGCTAGAAGTAAAGATAAATAAGACATTTCCACTGTTTTCGTCCAATGCCACTTTGTCTTCCGACACCCTCGCACGAATTCTATTCCTCTTGCTGAACAGTTTGTATGTGCCGTCCGCCCGGAAAATGGCACGGCTTTTCATCTTTGTTGTCGCTTTTTAAACGGTGGATCGATCAGCTTGCTTTCGTACATTACGGGATAGTTCCCAAACAACACCACGCTACGAACACCCTACGCTAATGTCCCCCACCTCTCGTCCCCCAGGAGGGCGAGACGCCGTTACACTGCGCCGCGGCGCGCGGACTGGTGGCCGCCGTCCGGTCTCTGGTGACTGCCGGCGGGTGCGTCAGCGTCACTGACGCCGCCGGCGCCACCCCGCTCCACCTGGCGCTGCGTCGGCGTCACGTTCAGGTGGCGCACATCCTGCTCGACGCCGGAGCGCCCTGCGATGTCACCGATCTGGTGAGTAGCAACTACCGAGACAGGAGTTTGCGCTACTCCTGTACACGTAATAAGTAAATGAAAACTGTACTCTACAAGAAAGTGTTCGGGGCGGAGCTTTCGAATTGTATTTACAAAACTTCGACAGCTAGTCGTAATCGGGTATACAACTCGGTTATGAGGGTATACAAACATTTATTTTGTGCGCCCATATTTTGTTAGTCAAGTCGGAGGGCCCATGCAGGCTCACCGGCTTTTGAGGCTTCCCTTCCAGGCCAATGCTTGAGGGCTCCAGCCCGATGCCTGAGGACCCCACACCGGACCTCATGCCAGTTTTCGAGTCCTCCACGAACGCTTTTTGGCCAAGGCCGATCTCGGTGGCTCTGGCCCCATGTATGCAGTACGCAGGCCTCTATACGTTCCCTCATCGGCCCTTACTCTACCTCTCTTCTACTATACTATTCCATCAAATTTACACCCTAATACCTAAGAGTCCTATCTCGTATGTGAGAATTTGACCGTTTTTATGTCATACAGCACTATATAGCAGTAGATACAGCACTGTGATGTCCTCTCCTCGTTTTGTGAAGATTACTTAGGTCCGCCTGATCTTTATTTCGGTCTTCTTCAGTGACTCCCTGCGTCTCCACTCCCACCACCATATTCCCGTCCCGTCCCAGTCAGCTCCTCCCAGGTACCGTCCGTTCAGGCTGCTCAACTCGCACCACTCGCCGTACCACCAGGCCCCCCCGATGGCGCCGCGCACAGTGTCTGTCAGGCCAGCCGTCCTGGTCACGGTCACGGGTCGAGAACTTCCTATTGACGCTCCACTGGAGACCATCCCCGGCAGTTCCCGTATAGTTAGAAATGCTTAATGTGTAGCCATCCAGCTCAGATGAGATACGAAAGTCTTGGTATAGAGCGTATCTTTGACTACCGTCAAAAGCCTCGAGTTCAATGCGGAGCTCGTACCGTCGGTCGTTTGATGACGTCAGCTGCTTTATGTTCGCTAAACCCAGCCAGAATTCTCCTGTTAAATTTCCAAAGCCTTTCTTATACTCTTGCCATCCGAGATAGAAGTTCTGGCGGGGCTGGAAGTCGTCTCTCCGCTGGATTACCGTCCATCTCCCTCCGACAGTGTCCATATCGCAGTACGCCTCGACGGGTGGCTGTTGGCTGTCGCCACTGGGCTGAAGGAGATAGACCCCAGATGGGGAGTCGACAGGCAGGTCGCTGCAATCACGGGGAGGGGTCAATTGATCTACTGTAGCAGCCGGATCTTCAATGACACCATTTGGGGATGCTGTCTGGTTAATCACAATGGTCAGCTTGGATCCCAGAATGTCAACCTGGGAGGTCAGGCTGTCAAGCCGTGCCGTGAAGTTATCCATTTTGATTGAAACCTCGTTTTGAACCGATTTTTGACTGTCCAACTGGGTATTAAGATCATTCAGTTGTAACTGCTGGTTGTCGAGTCTCGCAGTGATTCCAGTCAGTTGACTGGACAGCTCATCCATCTGCTCACCTAGTCCGCTCTTCAAAAGATTGGTGGCAAGTTCCGTCACTCGAGAATCGAGCAGAGTCAGTCTGTTGTCCAGCGACTCCATCCGAGACTCGAGTCTTCTGACGATGGGCCGGAGTTCTTCCTGAACTGTTCTGGCGATGATGCTGACTATCTCGTCAGCAGCGGCGCTGGGCAGGATGGCTTGCTGCTGCTGCTCCGCGGAACAGCCGGCCACGGCGGTCCAGACCAGTATCACCCCGATCACAGTGCACTTCGCCATGCTGGCGCATATGTCTCCGCCGGCGCCGACTGCCGACCTCGGACTGACGGCTCGGAGCTGGCAGGACGGGCAGGACGGCAGGACGGCCCTGCGCGGTTGAAGTCCGTGAGAGCCGCCACACCCGATATCAGCGTCAACGGTTTATTTATAGAAACCGGCCTGATAACACGGCCGGGGGCGGCGCCGGCGCCGGGCCAAGTTTCTGGCCAAACACACCCTGTCCAAACATTCATCCACGCCGACAGATAACAGAAGTCGTTACCGAATCAGCCGCAGAGGTGTAAGGGGGGGGGGGAGCAAAGGTGTGCAGTGTGGAAGATGACAATACTAAAATGTTGAGACAATCGTTTTTTTTTTACTGTCGACCGGCCGGACGTTTCACATCTTTAACTTAAAAAACGATCTCACGACTTCTGGCTCCCCTCTAACGAACATATTCACTCACCCTCGACAGTCGGGTGACGCGCCGCTGCACGTGGCCGCCTCGGAGGGCCTCCTGTCCATCACACAGGCGCTGTGTACCTATGGCTGCTCGCTGGACGGCCTCGGAGGCGAGGGTCTCAGCCCGTTACACCTTGCCGCTCGTGGAGGACACCTGGACCTGGTCAGGTGGGTCATATTCGAGTGTAAGGGTCGTGTGCGGCGCTGCTGGTTGGTGTATGATGCATGAAGTGAATGAAATAGCAGTTTACCTTACTAGTTACTAGTGTCCTAGTGTCGGATTGTGTTTCGTCGGTGTAGAGACTTGTAAATGTTTTGTTTGATGCCGTACTCATGGCCTCATTTTTTGGCCAGGGCTTATAAGCATGGTAGCTGAATTTTTCATTCAGTCTTCTATTTAGATTCGACAAAATTTTGTTTTAGTACTGAGCTGTTTAATCAACGTCCATTCATTAGAATCACAGTCTCACAAATTCCAAGAGAAAAAAAGCCTGTCTCCCTACATGCCCAGCTTCATCACCTTTGCCGCTGATCTTGAGTCCTCCCCCGTGACATTCTGCCCCGTCCCTCGCTGTCGCAGGGTTCTGTGTCTGGCCGGCTGCACGGTGGACCAGCGCAGCAGCTCCGGCCACTCGCCAGAGGTGATCGCCGTTCAGAACGGACATCCCCACATCGGTGGACTGCTCGCCCGGCTCAGCGACGTAAGATGATGTACATCGTACATCGATTTTGATTAAATTTTGCTCTTTTTGTAAGAAGTAAAACAGCTTTAGTCGTTTTAGAACTCGCAAGTTCAAGCTACAAGCTCATAAGACTCCAATGCTTTATTGGAAGAGTATAATTTTGCAGCGGTAGCAACAGAAATATTGTGTGTACTCTTGCTTAGCGTAAATGTAACGCAAATGTAACCTCCGAAAATAGTGTAGCTTGCCTTTGCCTTTTATTATATACCTGGCCTCCCGCCAGAGGCGATATCGGCCGATTTGTTGTGTCTCGGCGTGTATTGGCGGGCGTGGCGTCTGGAGCATGTTCTTTGGTGGGTTTCTGGAGCATTTCGTTGTTTTTTTTTTTCTTCTTCTTCTTCTTCTACTTTTCTTTCCTTTCTTCTTGAGCCGCTTGAGCTTCAGTTCGGCCGGTGGCGGAGTACCCCTTTGACGGCAGCCTCACGAGCAACAGGTCTTTTTTTTTGGCCTTTTTTTTACATAAAGTCATCACATGTACGAGTTTTTGGATAAGTGAGCCTTTTTTTATTTTTTTTATTTTTATTATTATTTTTTTTTATTATTATTTTTATTATTTTTTTTTTGATATTTTTTTTTAAATCTTTTTTTTTTTGGCTCATCATCATTTTTTTTTTTTTGTATGTTAACACGGCACAGTGGAGGGGGAACGGGCGGCAAACCACGGAGTTGGAGTTGCTACCGCCCGCCCCCCCCCCCCCATCCTTCGCGATGTTTCCTGGTGGTGATGAAGGTTGGGCCGGCCCGTAGGGGGGGGGGGCAGCCTCCCCGATGTTGAAGTCCGCGCCGCCCCCTCCCCACAGGCCGGCCCGTCGAACGTTGTCCTGCAGGTATATGGGGGGCCCGGGGGGCGGGCAGCTGCTCTCGATGCTGAAGTTAGAGCCGCCCGCCCCCACGGTCGGCCCCCCGCTCCTCGTCGGCGCTGTGGCCGGCCCACGGGGCGGGGCGGCAACGCCGGAGCCGGAGACTGCGCCGCCCCCGCCCCGCAGGCCGGCCCTTCTTGTGAAATCCTGTAGGTAATTGGGGGCCCGGGGGGCGGGCAGCTGCTCTCGATGCTGAAGTTAGAGCCGCCCGCCCCCACGGTCGGCCCCCCGCTCCTCGTCGGCGGTGTGGCCGGCCCACGGGGCGGGGCGGCAACGCCGGAGCCGGAGACTGCGCCGCCCCCGCCCCGCAGGCCGGCCCTTCTTGTGAAATCCTGTAGGTAATTGGGGGCCCGGGGGGCGGGCAGCTGCTCTCGATGCTGAAGTTAGAGCCGCCCGCCCCCACGGTCGGCCCCCCGCTCCTCGTCTGTGCTGTGGCCGGCCCACGGGGCGGGCGGCATCGCCGGAGCCGGGGACTCGCCGCCCCCGCCCCGCAGGCCGGTCCGTCGTTAAAAGATGTTGGTGTTTTGCCCTGGGGGCGGGCGGCAGCTCTCGGCGCTGAAGTTAAGCGCCGCCCGCCCCCCAGGCCGGTCTTGTTCTTGAGGTCCCGTAGGGCGGGAAGCAGCCCCGCTATCGGGGGTTATGCCGATCCCCGACCCGTAGGCCAGTCCGCCGGTCTGATGTTATGAGCCCGAGAGGCGGGCAGCACTTCTTGGGTTGAAGGTGGTGCCGCCCCCACCTCTCAGGCCAGCCTGTCGTTCGCTAACGGTATTTTATTATTTTTTTATTTTTTTTTGTTTTTTTTTAACCTTTTTTTGTTGTTATTTATATTTATTTTTTGTGGGCCTCTTTTTTATTTTTATTTTTTTTTATTATTTTTTATTATTTTTTATTTTTTATTTTTTTTTTTGCCTCTTTTAAACTTTGAGAAACACACATTTTCAAAGCACACATTCATATCACACAAAAAGCTTTGATTAACATGTCACATTTTTGCCACGTTTTTTTTTTTTGGCTTTCACTCATTTTTTTCCTTTGTTTTTTTTCCTTTGTTTCTTTTTTTTCGTCTCTTTTTTTTCTTTTTCTTTTTCTTTTCTTTTCTTTTTTCCTCTTTATTTTTTTTTCTCACTCTCTCTGTCTCTCCTCTCTAGCTTGTGAGAGGAGGGATGACTAACTTTCTGTCACCTTGCGGTACATCGCGTGAATGTGCCGCGGTGCCAGAAAGTTACTTATAATATGTCTTGCCTCTTCGTAGAGGAAGACTTTTTTTTTCTCCTTTTTTAAGGATTTATCTCCATTAAAATGGAGATGTTTTAGATTTGATTTTCTAGGCCGGTTTGCGAGAGAAAATCGAAAAGAAGATTCAATAATTGAGGACAATTATCTCCGAGTATATTTGTTAGGTTTAGGGGGATTTTGTTGCTATTGCTATAGTTAATGATTGTGTGTCTTTCTTGGTTGTAGATTGGGCAGTCTAATAGTAGATGTTTAACTGTGAGTCGGACATTGCAATTAGGGCACTGTGGGGGATTTTGATTTAGCAAAATGAAAGAGTGTGTTAGTTTTGTATGTCCGAAACGTAGTCTGGCCAGGCATCTTTCTCGTCTTCTTGATGTTTGGTGGATTGAATTCCATGGTTCTATTTTTGGGTGTATTTGTTTTAAGGCTGTGTTGGTTTTGTCCCAGAATGTTTGATTGATCGCTTTTAATTGTTTAGGTAATTTTGTGAGAAAGTCATCTGGATTTGGAGGTATGTTTGTGATGTTTTCTAAAGTGAGAGCTTCTTTAGCTAATTTGTCTACATAATCGTTAAGAGGGATGCCAGTGTGGGAAGGGATCCAGAGAAGTATCGGTAGCTGGTTTAGTGTGCTTTTTATTTGAAAGATATCTTTAATAAGGGGATGACATTGTGATATGTTTGTAGATATTGATTGGAGGGCTGATAGTGAGTCGGAGATAATTATCGCTCGAGTTATATTATTGTTTTTGATTTTTTGAAATGCTGCCCTTATTGCAAAGAGTTCGGCAGAGAAGATTGACGTGCCGTTAGGCAGTCTGGCTCTTACCGTCGTGTTAGCGCGTGCTCCTGTACGACTGATCGTCGCCGCCGCTGTAAGTTCGTTAATTTTGCTTCCGTCTGTGTAGAAGTGGGTGTAGTTTTGGAATTGTGCCATGAACTCGTTGAAAAGGGATTGTATTTCGATGTTGCTGTAGGAGGATTTCTTGTTGTCGAGGAGAAGGAAGAGCTTTGGGTATTCTTGGGCCCACCACGCCACCGGGCGCTGTGTAGGTGTGATTGTGGGGAGTGTGATATTCATTGTTCGTGAGTGTTTTGTGATGCTTGTACCGTAGGCAAATCTGCGTTGCTTTTTCTTGTTGATGAATCGTGGATGTGACCGGAATCTGATTAGTGAGGTGCATGGGTGGTCTGGGATCTTTTGTATTTTATAGAAGTATCTGAATAGTGCAATGATTCTCCGTTGTGCCAGTGTTTCAATGTCTGTATATACATGTAGGCTGGTGATTGGTGTGGTGGATAATGCTGCCGTGGAGATTCTAAGTGCTGAATTTTGGATGACGTCTAGTTTTCTAAGGTGTGTCTTGGCTGCGTTGTCAAAGGCGATGGCTCCGTATTCAAGGATAGGACGGATTAAGGACTTGTACAATTTAAGTAGTGTGTGGGTGTCTCCTCCAAAGTCGGTGCCTGATAGTGCTTTTAAAATGTTTAGTCTTTTGGATGCTTTAGTGGCGGTGTTGGAGATGTGTGTCTGGAAGGTTAGTGGGCGATCTAAAGTTATGCCGAGGAATTTTGCTTCTTCAACTATTGGAATTTCGTGTCCGTTGATGGATAGGGGTGTGGGAAGGTGTGGTTTATGGTTGCTAAAAAGGACGCATTTGGTTTTCTCGGGAGATATATGTAGGTTGAGCGGTTGCAGTGCTTGGTGAACATGCTGGAGGGCTTTGTCGAGTTGTTGTAGGGCATTGTTTTGGTGTTTCGAGGTTGTCCAAATGGCGATATCGTCTGCATAAAGTGCAATTTTGGAGGGGGATGGGACATTTTTTAGGGTTGAGTTTAGAGCTATGATAAAGAGGATTGGGCTAAGGACGGAACCTTGCATTAATCCTGATGTGGGAGTTTTGGGGTTAGATAAGGAATTCAGGTATTTGACTTGGAAGGATCTTCGGGTTAGGTAATTGTTGAGATAATGTAGGAGGTGTCCGGATATTTTGTGCTGGAGATAATTTAGGAGAAAGGAGGTGTTTAGGGTGTCATATGCGTTTTTAAGGTCGAGGAATAGAGCTGCAGTGGTTCGGTTCATGTGTAGACTGTGTTTTATGTCTGCTGTGATGGATACTATGTTGTCTAATGTGTTTTTGCCAGGGAGGAAGCCGCTTTGCTGTGGGATGATCAGGTTTTGGGTCTGAATGATGAAGAGGAGGCGGTGTTTGATGATACGCTCAAAAATTTTGTGGATAGTGTTTGTTAAGGATATTGGTCTGTAGCTCGATAAGGAGGTCGCGTCTTTTTGTGGTTTCTGTATTGGAATGATGTGTGCTTGGAACCATGTCTCTGGGTATGTATGTGAGGTAAATGCGTGGTTTAGTGCGTGGAGTAAAAGTGTTTTGCCTCTTTTTCCTAAGTGTTTGTAAAACTGGTAGTGGATTTCGTCTGGGCCTGGTGCTGTGTTGCCGGTTCGGTTTAGTGCGTTTTCTAGCTCGGTGAGGGTGAATGGTAGATTGTATGGGTGATGGTCTGTGTGGTGTGGGATATGTAGAGGAATAGGAACTGGACATTGTGATGAAATTTCGTTGTAATGGTTGGCAAATTGTTGGGAAATTTCGTCTGGTGTTGTGTATGTGATGTTGTTGTAGATTATGTATGAAGCTTTGTTGATTGGTGCTTTGTATCCCTTGAAAGCTTTTATAGTTTGCCAAATTTTTGATAGTGGAGTGAATCTATTGAATGAGCTTGAAATGTCTTGAAAAGATGATTTTTTAGCTTCCTTAATTATTTTACGGCACCTTGCTTTTGCTTTTTTGTAAACCAGAAGATTTTCCTCTGTCCTGTGTTTTTCGAATCTGTGCCTTGCCGTATTTCTGAATGTGATGGCGCGTTGACAGTTGTAATCCCACCATGGAGCGGATTTGGGACGAGGATGGTTTGTTTTGGTTTTTGGAATATGTTGGTCGGCTGCTTGTGTGATAATGTCTGTTAGTTGGGAGGCTGTTGGGTTGTTTGGAGTTGATTTGTCAATGTGTTCGGTGAATGCTGTCCAGTTGGCTTTTTTAAGGTTAAATCTGGTGATTCTGTTGGGAGGTGTGGTGGAGTGGTGTATTGTGATGTGTATGGGGAGGTGATCAGAACAGAGAGGGTCTGGGGATGTGTGCCATGTTGTATAGAGTGTAAGTGTTGGTGATGTGGCTGAGATGTCCGGAGTTGTGTCGTTGTGTTGTGTTTGTCTTGCTACAGGGAAGGTCGGGGATCCGTCATTGCTTAAGTTTAAATTTTGTCTGTCTAAAAGTTCGCTGAAGGCTTGGCCTTTTGAATCCGGGTTTTGTCTGGACCTATCCCAAAGTGGATGGTGCGCGTTTACATCACCACATAATATTATGGGAGTAGTTACGTTATTTAATATTCTTTCAAGGTCAGTCGTAAATTCATCAAAAACTACCCCTGGAGGGGCGTAAAAGTTAACTATGGTTATGTATCGTCTAGTTGTTTTAATTTCTATAGCTTGAATGTCAAAGTTAGTTGCTAGGTTAATAATTTTGAAGGGAATGTGATTCTCGATATACGCGCAGACTCCGCCTCTTCTCCTTCCTCCCGGATTTGTTGGAGCGTCTTTTCTGATAAGAGTGTAATTTCGAAGATTGAAGTTGTATGGATCAGTTGGTTTTAGATGAGTTTCTTGGAGGCAGTAAATTGACTTTTGAAATTTGATAAGTGCCTGTTTTAATTCATGCCAATTTTCTGGAATACCCCGGACGTTCCACTGTAGCAAGGACGTGTCAGTGTAGTGTCTGGCGTGGTGGGGCGTTATGTACATGTGAGACTACTTAGTGTTTCTGTCTGAGAGTGTAGGTGTGTGACTCGGCAGGTGCCGACTGGAGTCTGGTGCGGCGTGGGCGGCCCGGCGGGGTGGTGGGGCTGGGCGTGGATGAGTGGTCGGTAGTGGTGTTGGAGTCGGTGAGGTTGGAGTCGGAGTTTGACAGCCCGCTACGGACCGGCGCCTGACTCTTGTCTGTCTCCTTCGGCTGGGAAGCCGGGGGCGCCGGGCGCTCGCGGGGAGGTGGAGGAGGTGCAGGGGTGCCGTGAGAGTCGGCACCGGCGGCCCGAGGGGGCCGCGGCGGCACAGCAGGGGACCTGGCCGCGCTGGCCGGTCGGGGAGGGGGCGGAGGGGGAGCGTTGGGAGTCGACCGGCCGGAGGAAGGAGGGTAGCGGGGGGTGGGCGGGCGAGGTGGGATGTAGTTAGGCTTCTGAGGGAGAGGGGGGTACTCGGAGTGGTTGTTGGGGGGAGGACGGCGGACAGAGTCAGAGTTGGAGGGGATGATGGTAGGGTCGGCGTCCGGATGGGTCGCCACGTAGTGGCGGGCGTCCCTGGGCTCCCAGCCCTGACGGATCAGGAGGGACACCTGGCACTCCGCCAGCCACCGAGGGCAGCCGGGGTCGGTCGAGGGGTGCTCGTCGCCGCACCCGGCGCAGCACACCGAGGGGCTGGAGCAGGATGGGGAGTCGTGCCCCTCCTGGGCACAGGAGGAGCAGACGGGATGGGGGGCACGACAGTGCTGCTGGCGGTGGCCATAACGCTGGCACCGACGGCAGCGGAGGGGTTTGGGGGGGATAGGGCGGACGGGGAAGGACAGGTACGCGGCCCTGACGGAGGCCGGCGGTTGTGGCGTGTCAAAGGTGAGGATAAGGATTTTGGGAGAGCGGGGAGGGCGATACACCCCGCGGACTCCCACGCGGCGAAAGCCCTCCTCCAGCTCCGGGATAGAGAGGGGTTGGAGGGATGGGGCGAAGATGGAACCCTGGCTCTGGTTGAGGTGAGGAGGGGCCCATGCCCGGACCTCCGCCCCCGCGACCCGGGTGATCGCCAGCAGCTGCTGACGCTCCCCCGGATCGCAACGGACCAGCAAGTCGCCACCGCGGAGCGGCCGGGCGCTGAGACAGCGTCCGACCGCCCCGACGAAGGCGTCCTCGACGGCCCAGGGCGAAAGCCCGGACATGGGTGACCCGTCCAGGAGCCGGAAGCGGATGAAGGATTGGGCGGAAGGACCGGGGTTAGGGAGGTGGGAGGACATGACAGGCATGTTGGTGTAGAGGTGTGGGTGTTGGGAAGGTGGTGTTGTAGGGTGGTGCTGTGGGTGGATGTCAGTGGTGTGTGCAAGTGTGTTGTTGTAGGTGAGAACGTGCGTGTGGAAAAAGGCAAGTGCGAAAATTACGTTAAGTGTAGAGCGTGTAACTTACGTTGGCGGCGAAGATCTAGATCGTAGGGAAGCGCTGACAAGACGTCGATGTAGTGTAGCTGGCAGAGAAATACGGATTTCTATAGCCCATGACGAAAGACGAACGATTGTATGTAATACCAGTATAACGCATGTTTCTGCCTTAATTCCAGGCTGATTTGCGAGATGAGTTTGTCAATCAACTAGTCGAGACCGCTACTCCAATACCACGGATAAAACTGAAACTGTTCGGCAACTCTGGAGTGGGGAAGACAACGCTCGTCGAGTCGCTGAAGTCTGGATACTTCTCAGGCCTGTTCAGGCGAAACAGAAGTGCAAGTCTAGGGAATGTGCAAAACGGCTTCCGACGTAAGCTGTTCTTGATTCGCAACGGTCTTGTGTTCGCTGGCTGTTGCATAGATTTGCACTAAAATGTCGACTTTGTCCTATGTATTTTAAATTTTCACATTTATGTGTGTATCTTGCCCTCAGTGTTGTGTGTATCTTGCCCCCAGTGTCTGCGGTAGCCATCAAGCAGCGGGCCGAGCGGACGCCGTCCAACCCTCAGGCCGGCGCCGCCTGTCTCGATGGAGACTTCACCCGCGGCATCGACATCACGCAGGTCAGTCCATTTTCAGCTTCACTAAGAACTGCAGCGTTGGCATCATTACTTGAAGCTACCTCCACAGAAACTCAGCATAGCATCACAAAATGATGCGAGTTAGAATCCTCAATTTTGCAGAATAGTCTGGTGTTACCAGTAACAATTAGAAGTATGCCGACAAGCTCTTTCTTCCCATATACGACACGTGTATCATCATTTTCCCGCGCGTGTCCGACAGACCTCTCTGAACGGTGTCGGCGACGTGTCCATCTGGGATTTCTCGGGGCACCGCGCCTACCACGCGCTCTACGACCAGTTCATCGGCGACGGCAGCGGCGGCAACTGCGTCCACCTGGTGGTGTACCGACTGGCGGACGCGGCGCCGCGCCGACTCCGACAGGTCCGACACTGGCTCACCTTCCTGCAGGCGCGCATCGCGCCCGTCGAGCCGCTCGGTACGTGCGTGCCGTTTGTGTCTGTACACATGTGATGTATTGCTTAAATTTGTTGTGTGATGTGCTATTTGTTTTATTCAACAAGCAATGCCGCGATTCTTTATTTGACCTCCAAATTTCCACATTATTCATTCATAATTGATCACTCTTTACAACGATACGTGCGTTTGCGCGGTAAGTGCCCCCCTTCCTGCAGCCTGCGATCCTCCCAATAACCTCTCGGTGTACCGCCAGGTCACTGCGGCCGCTCGGCCGCCCCGCCGCGCGTGCTGCTCGTGGCGACCCACGCCGACCAGTGTCGACGGAGTGGTGCGGGGGACAGCGTTCTGACGGAGGTCAGTAGTAAAACGCTCATGTATTCGTGCATTATCAATTCCCTGTGCTTGAATGGCGCCACTGGTTGTGCCTAATACCTATGCGACTACCGCGATTTTTAAATGTAGATGGTATACCAGTGCCTCACAGGCATCGATAGATGACCAACAATTGAAGTTTTTTTTTTCGAGCTTCCAACTCATTATGAAATATTACGCTAGAGCTTGCAGAACTCACCCGTGCCGGACCGTCGTGAGCAGCTCCTGACGTTTCGGCCGTCTTTCCGTCACTCAGGTGGAGCAGATGATGTCGGAGATCAGTCGAGAGTTCGGCTCCGTTTTCGACCTCTGTCCGAGCACGTTCGTCCTGGACGCCACCTCGGCCAACTCGCCCTCTCTCAAACACCTCAAGAGTCACCTGTGCCGTCTGAGGGCGCGGGTCACACAGGTTAGTTACAGGGTCACGTAGGTCAATTTGGGCGGGACACATGGTCATCTTGAGCGGATCACAAACGTTATTGGGGACTAATCATGAAGGTTAGGTAAACTCGAATAGATTTGCGGAACAACACTGAATGCCAGAATGGTAGGAAGGTCTGGTGCTCGGTACTTTCTACTACGCATTTTTAATCAATTTACCTTTCGCCATGTGTGCTGTGCATTCATCCGTATCTGCCGCTCGTGCAGGGCCTGCCGAAGAGCTCCAGTTTCCTGGAGTCGATGGTGTCGCACGTGCACGGCTGGCGTCGCCTGCAGCCGCAGTTCCCGGTGATGCCGTGGTCGGACCTGGTGGACGTGGTCCGGGACCAGGTGAACCCGCTGGCCTCCGCCGAGCACGTCCACGTGGTGATGCACCAGCTGCAGCTGATGGGGGAGGTCAGTCGGACGGATGACGGACTACCCCTTACCTCCCCCGGGTCCGAGTAATGGGTATTGGGCTCTAGTCTCTATGTCTGTCAACGTCAGTTAGGTAGCTAGTCGGGGACGAACAGGGGCCCCGGGTATCGGCGTGAGCAGGCACTCAGGTTCCTGTTCTGTTTCAACGTCACCATGGGAAATTTTGGTCCGTAATTAGCGACCGTGTTGTTATGGTCCGCTGCATTATTAATGTTCAGTACATCTCAACAGGTAGCCGGAGGATTAAAATGTCCATGCAATTAATATAACCGTCCTTAGTAAGTTTCTATCGTTTGGGCGGAGCACTGTCTCGTATCTCATGGCATCTTACGCTGAGGCCCGTATCCTGTCGCATCCATTGCATCCTGTTCACTAGCGATCTCGATTTTCATCGTATGATGCCCTTGTTGACTGAGTGGTTAGTAGAACTAACCCGTTGACGGGTCGGTTTGCTTGGTGACAATTCTCTCCGGTCGTCTTCACCTACCCGATGTCCCTGATGACTGTGCCGTTCCATTTCAGGTAGTGCTGCTGAGGTCGGTGGGCGGCGAACAGGACCTGGTCACCCTGTCTCCCCAGTGGCTCTGCGGGGACATTCTCGGACAGATGCTCTCACCAGAGTTCGTACGGCGCACCAGAGACTCGGGTGGGTGGCGCTTATATCAGATCTTCTTCAGTCGATCTTCAGTCGATTATAAGAATCTCGTGTGGTACGACGGGTGCTGAAGTAGGTGATGAACCTGACATTGGTAGATGTGGCACTAAAGGCACAATTTGGTGTAGAGGCCCAGCAGACCATGTCGCTCATGACTCGGCCCTGCTACCCACAGGATGTTACACGCTGGACGAGTTCCAGGCACTGGTGCCTCACTGGGACGGCCTGGACCTCCTACAGGTGCTGGAGACACTTCACGTCTGCACTCAGGTCAGCAGCCCCAGCAACATCCCGCCGACGGTGTGCGCGTAGTGCTCTTCTTTGGAATACCTTCGCATGTGGGGTACTTGCTGTATACAGAAAATACAGTGTTACTAACTAGTAACTACCTAAGTTAAGGTATGCCAACCGTATTCCCCTGCTGGTAACTCGCCGATTCCTCTCGTTTACCACAAAGGCACATCCTTGTGCCTACCATAGTCCTTTGGCTCCAGGTTTGAAGTAAAACTTTGTTTTCTCCATCCTATGCCTTCATTGGCTTTATTACCAGCTTTTTATGTTTTTATTTCGCATAATTTAATTATCCATTTGAGTAGGATTTGGGTTTTTTTGAATTGCTCAGTTTTTGCAGCGAGCTTTTTCTGTTAGGGCTTGCGAGATATCTGCGTACAGACATATCTCTTCAGCATTAGACGTTGACCAGGAATGCGGCTGAATTCACGTGCGATTGTGAGTGAGGTACCCTCGGTTTGAAGATTCGGCTGTAGAATATGTAGTTTTAAATACGTAGTTTGACGTAAATCTCGGAAAAGTGAGATACGGCCAGAAATGAGTGTGGGTACCTCCGTCCTGAAGATTCTGATTGGCGCCGATTGAAATAATTCGCCGTGCATATCTCGGCTTATTGACGACCGATTGACACGGGACAAACACCGATCGATACCAAATGGCTCTTGGGGGGGGGGATAGAGTGGCAAGTTTTCCTACCCGACGGACCCGGAATTATCCCGAGGGGGTAGGGGTGGGAGTAGAGTCGGGGGAACGGGGGGGGCGAGTACAAGTACCAAGTACTTTCGCAAGTACCAAGCAAGTACCAAGTACTTTTACAAGTACCAAGCAAGTACCAAGTACTTATGCAAATACCAAGCAAGTACCAAGTACTTTGGCAAATACCGAGTACTTATGAAAATACCAAGCAAGTACCAAGTACTTTGGCAAGTACCGAGTACTTTGGCAAGTACCAAGCAAGTACCAAGTACTTTTGCAAGTTCAGCAAGTTTTTCGCCAATATCGAAGCTTCTAGACGTCCAATCGTCACCGGAAAAACACCAATCGATCCCAAATTTTCTGCCGAATCTTTTTTATGGCCAAAGCGACGCGGAGCGAGCCAAGATATCTTGTTTAATTATCCATTTGAGTAGGATTGCGGGTTTTTTGAAGTGCTCAGTTTTTGCAGCGAGCTTTTTCTGTTAGGGCTTGCGAGATATCCGCGGACAGACATATCTCTTCAGCATTGCGCGCTACACAGGAATGCGGCTGATTCACGTGCGATTGTGAGTGAGGTACCCCCAGTTTGAAGATTCGGCTGTAGATTGTAGAATATGTAGTTTTAAATACGTAGTTTGACGTAGATCTCGGAAAAGTGAAATACGGCCAGAAATGAGTGTGGGTACCTCCGTCCTGAAGATTCTGATTAATTCGCGGTGCATATCTCGGCTTATTGACGACCGATTGACATGGGAATAACACCGATCGATACCAAATGGCTCTGGGGGGGGGGGGGGGGATAGAGTTGCAAGTTTTCCTACCCGACGAACCCGGAATTATCCCGAGGGGGTAGGGGTGGGAGTAGAGTCGGGGGAACAAGCAAGTACCAAGTACTTTCGCAAGTACCAAGCAAGTACCAAGTACTTTAACAAGTACCAAGCAAGTACCGAGTACTTATGCAAATACCAAGCAAGTACCAAGTACTTTGGCAAGTACCGAGTACTTTGGCAAGTACCAAGCAAGTACCAAGTACTTTTGCAAGTTCAGAAAGTTTTTCGCCAATATCGAAGCTTCTAGACGTCCGACCGTCACCGGAAAAACACCAATCGATCCCAAATTTTTCCCCGAATCTTTTTATGGCCAAAGCGACGCGGAGCGAGCCAAGATATCTTGTTTAAATATCCATTTGAGTAGGATTGCGGGTTTTTTGAAACGCTCAGTTTTTGCAGCGAGCTTTTTCTCTTAGGGCCTGCGAGATATCCGCGGACAGACATATCTCTTCAGCATTGCGCGCTACACAGGAATGCGGCTGATTCACGTGCTTTTGTGAGCGAGGTGCTTCCCTCCGGGAGAAATTCGCCGTCCCCATATGCTTAACACAGAGCCGAGCGGCGGCTGACAGATGGCCGGCTCTCGGGAGATCGGCAGCCGACACTCGAAAAATCGACAAGCCGCCGCTGAATGCGCGTGCGGCAGTGCTGAGCCGAGTCGTTCCCACGGTCTGAGGTACCCCCAGTTTGAAGATTCGGTTGTAGAATATGTAGTTTTAAATACGTAGTTTGACGTACATCTCGGAAAAGTGAGATACGGCCAGAAATGAGTGTGGGTCCCTCCGTTCTGAAGATTCTGATCGACGCCGATTGAAATAATTCGCCGTGCATATCTCGGCTTATTGACGACCGATTGACACGGGATAAACACCGATCGATACCAAATGGCTCTGTGGGGGGGGGGGGGGGAGTAGAGTGGCAAGTTTTCCTACCCGACGAACCCGGAATTATCCCGAGGGGGTAGGGGTGGGAGTAGAGTCGGGGGAACGGGGGGCGAGTACAAGTACCAAGCAAGTACCAAGTACTTTCGCAAGTACCAAGCAAGTACCAAGTACTTTTACAAGTACCAAGTACTTATGCAAATACCAAGCAAGTACCAAGTACTTTGGCAAATACCGAGTACTTATGCAAATACCAAGCAAGTACCAAGTACTTTGGCAAGTACAGAGTACTTTGGCAAGTACCAAGCAAGTACCAAGTACTTTTGCAAGTTCAGCAAGTTTTTCGCCAATATCGAAGCTTCTAGACGTCCGATCGTCACCGGAAAAACACCATTCGATCCCAAATTTTCTCCCGAATCTTTTTATGGCCAAAGTGACGCGGAGCGAGCCAAGATATCTTGTATAAATATTCTATTTGCGTCGGTTTGCGGGTTTTTTGAAACGCTCAGTTTTTGCAGCGAGCTTTTTCTCTTAGGGCCTGCGAGATAGCCGCGGACAGACATATCTCTTCAACATTGCGCGCCACACAGGAATGCGGCTGATTCACGTGCTTTTGTGAGCGAGGTGCTTCCCTCCGGGAGAAATTCGCCGTCCCCATATGCCTAACACAGAGCCGAGCGGCGGCTGACAGGTGGCCGGCTCGCGGGAGATCGGCAGCCGACACTCGAAAAATCGACAACCCGCCGCTGAATGCGCGTGCGGCAGTGCTGAGCCGAGTCGTTCCCACGGTCTGGCGGCCAGCTGGGTGGGGGCGGGGTGGGGAGAGGTAGGTGAAAAAATAGAATATTTAACTGCAAACAATTCTTTGCAAACAAATGAAAACGATCTGAGACCAAGGCAAATTCCCAAAGTATTTGATCGTCTAAAGACGTCTGATTTAAACGTCGGAAAGGAACCAGTTCTTTGCGGTATTTAGGCAAGTAAATACCAAGTATTTTAGAACAAGTTCTTTGCGGTATTTAGGCAAGTAAATACCAAGTATTTTAGAACAAGTTCTTTGCGGTATTTAGGCAAGTAAATACCTTTGGCAGGTTTTCAGTACATTAGCAAGTTTTCAGTACATTACCAAGTAGCAGGTGATACAGCAAGCTGAAAGTTCAAGTTCTTTGCGGTATTTAGGCAAGTAAATACCTTTGGCAGGTTTTCAGTACATTAGCAAGTTTTCAGTACATTACCAAGTAGCAGGTGATACAGCAAGCTGAAAGTTCAAGTTCTTTGCGGTATTTAGGCAAGTAAATACCTTTGGCAGGTTTTCAGTACATTAGCAAGTTTTCAGTACATTACCAAGTAGCAGGTGATACAGCAAGCTGAAAGTTCAACAAGTTTTTCGCGAATATCAAAGCTTCTAGACGTCCGATCAACACGGGACAAACACCAATCGGTCCCAAATTTTCTCCTTAATCATTTTATGGCCAACGCGACGCGAAGCGAGCCAAGATATCTTGTGTTTCCAATTTTGATATAGGTTCATACATAGTTCATATTAAAGGGACACTCCCACCTTAAAAAAGTTAATGAATTGGCATGAAAGTGATGTCGCTCGGTTCAGAAAGAGCAAAAACGAATATCTACCAAATTTCATCGAAAAATATTCACCGGTTTTCAAGATATTAGACTTTTACTTTTGTTTACTTTTTGGGATCTCCGCTGTTCCTAGCGACTTTATTTGAAAGTGCGGCATTTGTTGCGCGCAAAGCAGCATATACCACCGCGTGCTACAAAACGTTTTAGTCAAACATTTAACGGACGTTCGAAAGCCTGATGACGTCATCAGACTCCCGTAATGGTTAAGAGATAGGGACCACGCTGGTCCCACCCTGCAAGTAAAGGGAAGAAATTTCTTGAACACCATAAAGCTGCGGGGGTTGCGACCAGGATAAATGGTGGTTTCTGAGCCTGGCCGCAAACTTGGCTATCTCAACTCAAAACTAATGTTAAGGTGGGAGGGTCCCTTTAACTGCCACAAATTTTCTCCATCACCAAACTGCTCCATCCAAGCGGAAAGCGATAGGTAACAGTAACAGACTCGAGAAATACGAACGCCGCATCGCGCGGGCCCTCGTCCCTCCCCTTCTCGAACATTTGCAGCCGGTCAAAAACGTCGCGATCGGGCGCTGACGCCCGACAGCACACAATACGACGAGGTGGCGCAATATTGCTGAACAGGCGTCTCGAAAAGTACTTAGTAACGGCACAAGTGTGAACAGCCTTCAGCATAAAGAACGGTGTATTGGTATCAGGGTGCTGATTTTGCGGTAATAATTGCTGCAAGATAGGCGGGAAGACGCATCTGTGATCTGTCAAGGGAACTAAAAAGCAAGTCTCATCAAAAACCAATGTTTTTTAATCACATTGGCGAAAATCGTGACATATGGCATGATGAGTAACTAAGGCTCGAGAATTTAAAATGCGAAATCACGCAAGCTATCACCAAGTCCAATTAGGCCGGTGGTTAGGTACTTTTCAATGAGCGAACAACTCGCCATTTCTAATCCTTAAAAGTTAAAACTTCTTGCGCTGGCCCCACGTAACCTTTGCCCTGGTGGGGAGGGGAGGAGTCATTTTTGGCGATGTTTTTTTGCGTGTGTAAAGAAAACCACGGCGCGCATCGCCGCGAAACGTGGTATCTATAGCTTATGACTTATGATAGGAACATTAATCTCGCATCGTGTGTGATTTTTTTACCATGGGTGGAGCTTTTCCAGGGAAGTTGGTGGGGCAAAAAGTCGTCAAACCTACATTGTCCGATTGTTCAGTTAAATAAAATGCTATAGGTACTGAAATCTGAATCAATTCTTCTCAATACAGAGATAATAGTTTGCATTACACGGATATGTCAAAGCTCTTCAATGCAAAAATATTGATTTGCAAAGAAAGCAACAAAGACCTACAAATCAGCTGAAGTTGATTGGGCAAAACGCTTATTGGTGGGGCAAAATGGTAAGTTGATGGGGCAGCGGGGCAGACATCGCACCAACTGTATAGGAAGCTCCGCACCTGTTTTTGACCCAGATTCTAGGTTTAAGGTCGGGTCACCAGAAGATGTATTCATGCATTTGGGGTCCGGTCAGGCCAAGTCTGTCAAGCAATAGGCGTCCTGCCGGCTATCCTTAGTAGGCGTCAGCCACCACTGACAGCTTCGCAACATGTTACATTGACACCAAAACTACTTCTCGAATCTTCAAATGGGTGTTAAAATCGAAATCAGCTCCAAAAACTACCCTAGATACATGTCTAATTCGAAAAAAGTGAACAAAGGTCATCAAAGGTCCTATTGATCCTATTGACCTTGACGTGGCCTTCACGTGATCTTGACACCCATCATGATGCATGGAACCGAAGCATCATATCCTTGTTGGAAGGTTAACAACCACAAAAAAGACTGGAAACGTACGGATAATGTGCGCTGACATACGCGGAATTGCGATTCCAGCCTGACATGCTCTCGAGAAACAGTTCACAGGTCAACTAGGTCATTTGGGTCAGGGTTACACAATTTTCGGGGTAGGTGTAAAATTGATAGACTCGAGGGCACTGGAAGTTTCATTGTAATCGGCCGCTTTTGCGGCGGATAAAAAGCGAAGGAGCGGTCCGTCCAAGCCCCCCCCCTAAACCCTATTTCTGCGCCGATTGGGACTTTTCGGTGAACAAACTGTGTTACTTTGTTAAGTTATTGTTAAGTTATTGTTAACTGTGTATGATATCTAGGCCCGTGCTTGTTGATGCATCATAACTATTGTAATGTTGCACACCAGATATCTCATGAAAACCTACAATATGCACCAGCCCTTGGTGAATGGCAGTTTCCGTGTGGTAGTCGTCGTGCGAAACGTCAGCGTTGAAAATTATTTTATGTAGTTACTATAGTTACTAAGTAGTTGCAACATTGACCTGTACCCCATCAAGACGAACTCTCTGCTGAAGTCTTCTGGGCGTATCTGTGCACTAAGCAGAGCGCGAGCATAAAAAGTGACACGGTTACCATATGTGCACAGCCGAGACGTAGATCGCCGAGCATCGTCATTTGCTGCATAATGACAAGGCACTTAAGCTCGTCATATAAAAGAGGGTGCTCAACCGGGCTGTCTCAGCATTCGAGCCTGTCTGTCGTCAAGAACTGGGCACTTCAGCTTATTCACCGACTTCAACCGACGGCATCATGAGGGTCCTGCTGCTGAGCGCCCTGCTGGCGGTGACGGCCGCCAAGCCGCGGCAGGTATCTCCCCTGGACCAGTGGGTCACTGACGCTCCCGCCCCGGGCCGTAAACCTGAGGGACAGTGGGTCACTGACGGACCCGCCTCCGGCAGTCGCAAGCCGGAGATCCCCGTTGATGACAACTTCGAGTACCGCAACCCGTCAGTCACCGACGACGGCCGTGAGCTGTTCGAGTCGGACATGGTTCTGACGGCCGAGCAGCGCGACGGCCGTCAGGCGTCCACCAACCTCTGGACCAGCCCGGTCAGCTTCGCCATCAGCTCCAGTTCGTCCGCCGACCGGGACGCCATTCTGGCCGGAATCCAGCACTGGCGGGACCACACCTGCCTCGAGTTCAACGAGGTGGCCGAGGGCTCCAGCGTGCCGCACATCAACGTTATCAAGTCCGAAGGCTGCTGGTCGTACGTTGGTAAGAGCACCAGCTCCGGGGGTCAGGATCTGAGCATCGGCGACGGCTGCACCGGCCTGGGCACGGTGGTGCACGAGTTCGGCCACGCCATGGGCCTGTCGCACCAGCAGTCGCGCAACGACCGCGACAACTACGTCACCATTCTCTTCGACAATATCCTGGAAGGAAAGGAGGGCAACTTCGACAAGCGGCCCGCGTCCAACAACTACTCAGTGCCTTACGACCTGACCTCTGTCATGCACTACGGTTCCAGATACTTCACCTCCAACGGTGAGGACACCATCCGCGTCAACAACTTCCTGCACACTGGCCTGATCGGTCGGCGCGGGGGCCTGTCGCACCGCGACAAGCAGATCGCCAACGCCATGTACAACTGCGCCGCCGGCTGCTCCAGTCCGCCCACCTGCCAGAACGGCGGCTTCGTCGGCAAGAGCTGCACGTGCGTCTGCCCGCCCAACACCTCCGGCGCCAACTGCGAGACCCTCAACGGCAGCTACTACGGTGACATAGACTGCGGCGATATCAATATGACGCAGCCGGGCACCATCACCACGCCCAACTACCCCGAGAACTTCCCCAAGAACGTCGTCTGCTGGTGGATCATTAACGCGCCGGCCGGCCAACAGGTCAAGGTCACCGTCACCGACATGAAGATGCTGTACCGCTCCAACGGCAACTGCTACTGGGACTTCCTCGCTATGCGCTACTCGGGCAACGACTTCGTTAACGACCAGAAGGCGTGCGACGCAGAGCTGCAGGGTAAGAGTTTCACATCCACCGGCAATCGTTTCATTGTCCAGTTCAAGTCGGGCAACTATGGCTGGTACAAAGGCTTTTCGGCCAACGTCGAGTTCCTCTCCGCCTGAGCACGGTTGACACGACACTGTCGCGGAGAGTAAGGCACCCACTAAAACCAGCGGATCCACGAAGCAATGAGTGAACGCGTATTCCCCTTGCCGAACTATCCTTTTGTCTGTCAAAAAAGTGTGTATGTGTGTGTTAAATACATTTTGCCATCTCACTCACTACGGCGTTTGGTCGCTGTATTGCCCGGAATCAGCAATAATTTTGCTGACTCGGGTGCGCATTTGCCAAAACGGGGGTACATCTACACAGCGTGCATACCGTGAATATAATAAGTACGGCACTTTATAAGTTGAGCCCTGGAGTGACCAAGGCATGATGTCGATAATTCCCGTACCGCTACCACGCTCACCCGCCGCCGTCCCTCCGCTGCAGTGTGACAGCGCCGGGGACATTGTGTACGAGTTCCCCTGCCACAACCGAGGCGCCGAGCCGGAGGGACTGTGGGCGCCGCCCGGCCCCGATGGACCCCGGCTCTGCTACGGAGGGGTGATGCTGCGACCCCCGGACGGCACGGAGCTCCTCATGTCACCCCTGCTGCCGCGACTGCAGGTACGCACAGCGAGAGGACGGGTACAGATAAGTGGTGTTCTTCAGTTGTAGGATTTCAGGTTTGTGACTTTTGTCGTGAAAAGCATCGAAAGCGTCCCTTTGTCTTGCACTCATGATCAACTTGTTTATGACAGGTTACTGATATGTGATCGGAAACTGGTTGCTTATTTGTTTGTGTCTAATCTGACAGTTATATGTTAGATGCTTCGCTCATATTGCCCAACTGATCCCCGATATTCCCTGTAAGCTCCTCTCCTCTCCATCAGTATTTGACCTCTCAGATAAGCTCGCGCTGAATGTCCCGCCAGCTCACTGACGCCTCCTCCCCTCCACTCCGCCTCAGGTCCAGCTGCGTCACCTGGTACAGGAGTACTCGGCCGGGGAGGCGGAGCTGCGTCAGTGGTGGGCCGGGTCTCGGCTCATCACCGGAGGCATTGAGACCGTGCTGACCGCCTCCCCCGACGGCCGCCACCTGGAGCTGAGACTCAGGGGGCCGGCTGACGCAGCCGCCGCCTGCTTCTACCTCATGGAAGATGTACTGACGGCGCTGGAGCAGGTACTTATCTTCGCTGTTGTAGAAAGCTTTTTCATCCATAAGTAAATGCTTACAATCTGAATACTTGCAAAGTAAGCGTGATTGGATGCGATGGAATGTTCAGGACATTTATACTAAACCATTCATTACTTCACGTTCTTTCCAATCCGTTTTCTCAATTCCAATTCCTCCCCTGCACCCCACCTGACGCATTGCGACTCTGGCGTTTCAGGTGATACTCCAGGTGTTCCCCGGTGTGCCGATCGAGCGCCACTACCTGTACCCCAGCGACCTGGAGCGTCACGTCGACCGGTGCCGCTCAGTGCCGCCGTCAGATCTGGTCGCCAGTCTTCTAGCGCGCGGTCCCGCATCTCCTCTCAGTTCAGACATATTCTCTAACAACTCCTCAGACAACTCCTCAGCTCCCTCCTCGATGGATGCCTCGGCTCTCTCTCCGGCCGATCCCTCGGCTCTCGCCCCACGCTCCTCTGTCTGCGCCGACTCCCCGTCTCCCCTGGAGCTGGTGTGTTTCAGCTGCGCGCCGGTGTCTGACCGTCTCCGCTGGCCGGCCCAGCTGCCGGTAGCCTGTCTGGGGGTGGCCGGCCGGCGCGTGCTGTGCGCCGCGCTCGACCCGGCCGACCGGCTCGGCCGCGACTGGTGTCTGCTAGCCGTCCAGCTGGGGCTCACCGAGCGGCTAGCGCGGCTCGACGCTGGAGATAACCCGGCCGTGAGCCGGACGGCACGGCTGCTGCACGAGCTCGGCAGACTGCCGCTGGCCCGGCTGCACGCGGCGCTGGTCGACATCGGCAGGCGGGACGCGGCCGAGCGGCTGGCGGCCGCCGCGCCGCTCTACCGTCTGCGGCTCGGCTCCGGCGGCGGCGGGCCCTCTGAGACGGTGACGGTGCGGCCGCCCTCCGGCTCGGCGGCCAGCTCGTCCACAGTCAGTCGCTGAGCGACTCAGCGGCTTAAAAACCGGCGGGCGCTGACAGGCGACCCAGGCTATACGGAGCAGTCGGAGAGGGTTATTCACAGAACTCAGTTATATTGCGTCCATAGTGGAAGTCGAAATGTGTAAAAGGCGGCGCCAGCGCCACTGCAGTCATAGGTAGTCGATGTGATACGATGTGTTGTATGAGATGGAAATTGTCTTGGAGAAAAAGAGATGGAAAAGAGAGATGGAAAGTGGCTGAAATCACCAACAGGCAGAAGCCTATAAGACCAACAAACATGAACTTTTTCGCCATTCGCCCGTATGGCGTTGTGTTGGACGATGCCATCTCATCGCCACCAATCTACTAGAATGGTGGTCCCCACTTGTGATAACGGTGCTATGTCGGTTATGTGCGAGTGTAACATTCCTGTGGCTTTCGATGCGATGTGTCATTTATTTGAGTCATTTATATCGGTGCTGGACATGAAGGGAAGGTTGTGATAGGACTGTAACGTCTTGAAGACGGGAAAATATGCGACAATGGGGGCATGTGGAGGCCTTAGAAGCCAATGTCCGTGTAAACTAACGTTATATGTCTAATTTTCTTCAGAGAGGATAAATAAATATGGAGTGCGAATATCAATTGATCTTTGCAGTGAAGACATGCATCTGGCTTTATTGGAGTCTGATCATTTATCTCTTCGAATCTAAAAAAGAACTGTTTGCTTGTCCATTTTTAGTGCTGGGGAGGATAACTTTAACATTACATTTGAATATAATCTCTTGAATTCCCAGATAGCATGTAGTTCTTGACGAAAAATCTCAACTTCCTGGGTGTCAGCACCGGGCAATGGGTCAAAGACCAGTCGCCAATGAGCCGAGCGCAGTCTTAGCGCGATTGCATGGGGTAGACAGGCGAAATAATGCAACCTCGACTTCCATTTCCTTGCCACGGCACGAACAAGGAAGAAACAGTTGCAGACGAGTACGGCTGGAGGACAGCTGTGTTGCCAAATGCAAAGATTCTTTCTCGAATCCTCGTGCACGGCGCCGCCACGAGAGATGACAGTTTTCAGGACTCAGGAGATATAATTATTAGAATTGGTCCCCGTCTGATCGGACCCCTTCACACCACTCACCCGTCCGATGACTGATGTGTTGACGATGTGACGAGTCCCGTCTGACAGCCCCATGGTGCGGTAATGGAACCTTCTGGCCCGTCTCTGCTCCGCTCTCTGAAACACACGTGACATTCATAAGCAATTGGTTCCGTCCGAGCCAGTCCCACGATCCGATAGTGACTTGGACCCACCTAAAAGCTAATGGGGATTTCTTGGAAGCAGGGTCCGCCCGACAGGTCGACCCCTTTGTCAAGGCATTTTTCAGAACCAGCCTAACTCCGACCGGACACGGCTCTGGGTCGATCAATTGTAACCGAGAGGGTTGCCCGACTATACGCCCCAGACAGATCATTTCAAGGGGCTCCAGGCGGGGCTGACCCCTTTTGCCCCCTCTTCCCCCTGTTGCGCCATTGCAGTCATCTGACATTATCAATAGTATTTATCAAAAGGAAAAGCTGCATTTTCGATATCATTAGAGTATGCAAATTGCAAGGTGAAAATGTACAGATGATCAGAACGGAGTTCTATAACCACGGTCAGAAGAGTGGAAAATGGGCTGATGACGCAACTATTCCCTAATTGCTGCCAAATTCTCCGTGCGTGATGCCAAAGAAATACCAAACCTTGATGCCCATCGTCAAAACAAAACCGCGTGTGTGCGCTGCGTGTGTGGAAGTGGGAGCGAATAGTGGTTTTAATTGACTGTAAATAACTCCTGTTTGAATTGCATAAACTTTTTGCAGTGCGAAGACATCACATATCTTGTTTCACGTCAATAAACAAAAAATGGGCAAGAAAAAGGGCAAAGGGAAAGAACCAAAGCTTGAGCTAGTTTTCAACGAGAAGGATCGAAGGTGAGTGAATGGCGATCAAAACATTGAGACCATTATTTATTTTTAGATTTGTTTTTAATTTTGCTTAGTGTATGCCTAGGTATCATGACTTTTGATTCGAAGCAATTCATGATGCCTGGTGAATTGGATGCACAACAATCAGGACTGCCGGCCAAAGGAAGAAACGCGTAACTCCCAAATCCGAACTTTCCAGGAGAGCCAAAAAACATGTTCGGACCTTTCACGGCTCCTGTGGTCTGAATATTCAAAACAAATACAGCACAAATAATACCATTGGAATCTCCACTGTCGGCTCTTGTCAGTGATACCAATATTTTTATTTTAAATTATGTCGCATGCAAGAAATACGTCTATACTTTTCTTCCTTTGCAGCTGTTGAGTCACATCAATCGAAATCCCAATGGAAGAAACGCGTGAATCGGTTATCTGGAGCTACGCGTTTCTTCCATTGGGATTTCGGCGCACGCGCTACATCGACGTTGTGGAAAAAAAGGGCAGACACAGTAATGAATGAACGGATGAATGAATGTCTGGCGTGTGAGATCTAAACCGCTTCGAATCTTGACTGTTTAACTGAATAATTTCGATGTTTAACTGTATAACTGTCCCTCTACGTCTTTATGTGTATATGAGTGCATTTAACTCTGGCATGTGCAGATATTTTAAATTAACTCAGCACGTCTTACCTTATAGAATATACTGGAATCATTGAGATAATATAGTCAACAAAAGGCTATCAACTCAGCAGCCTGACATTCAAAACAGAAGGGAACAATGGGGTATATTTCGGTTGCTGAAGACAACATAGGTAACACTGTATAAACACCACCCATCCAAAAGGCTGGATCAACAAAAGGCTATCAACTCAGCAGCCTGACATTCAAAACAGAAGGGAACAATGGGGTATATTTCGGTTGCTGAAGACAACATAACACTATAAACACCACCCATCCAAAAGGCTGGGTCAACAAAAGGCTATCAACTCAGCAGCCTGACATTCAAAACAGAAGGGAACAATGGGGTATATTTCGGTTGCTGAAGACAACATAACACTGTATAAACACCACCCATCCAATACACACAACGCCATTATACAGACAGAAATCGCCTGGAAGCGGGAGGGCGGTATCTCCGGCGCCGGGGGTCACGGCGACCGCCCCCTGTCCCATCCAACACACACATGACACAACGGCATCTTCGCCGACATATCCTAGCATCTGCGCAGCGGCTGCGCAGATGGCTGAGACAGGCTGAGACTGCTGAGGCTGAGGCTGCCAGGCTGGTGCAGCCTCAGCCTGCCAAATCGCGCACCTTCTTTCCTTGCAGAGATTCCCAGAACTCGCGCTTGTAAGGCGTCATCAACGGTGCCAGTACTTTCAGGATCCTGTCCAACTTATCCTTATTTACTCCACGAGCGACCGCTCGCCTATTGGGCTGCGTGGTTGGGTCGTACGTGGTCTTGAACAGGTCATAAGCGGCCCAGCTGGGGCTGCCATGTCGTGTTTTTAGAAATAGTCGATCGTCTCCACGTCGAGCCTGGACCACTTTAATGTCTCTCAACATAGGCCTCATGTCACCACCGGCAAGCCGCGTCAGCTTGGCGGTACTGACGCCATTCACCAGGTCTCGGAAATCGCCCGGCGACATTTCCACTACTCGTCCAGACCGTTCACAGATTTTAACAAAATCAGAAAAATCCTCCACTACAGCTTTTGAAAGAAATTTGTTCACGACCTGGTGAATGGCGTCCGCTGACATACTAGTATGTCCTTTCTCCAAATATTTTACTGTGACTGTGTTGAGTGCCACATCAGTCCTATTCACCATGTTTTGAAGGGCCGTCAGAAATGTCCAATTCTTATTCTGTGCCGAACAGTTGTCGACCCAGAAGGTGAGGCTGACCACGTGCCGATGGAGTTCCGCGAATTTCATGAATGTGGAGGCCACGTCGGGCGCGTCCCTCCCTGCCACACCCTCGTGCCACACGATGCACACGCCCTGACCCTTGCCGCCGCCAAGTGAGACGAAAGTTTCATTGTACGCTATGAGGCGGGATGTGAAAACACACGTCTTGTGGGGCAGGATTGGGAGAACGGCAATCCTCATCATGTCCGCGGACACCACCATCTCGTCTGCCGTCCGCGGCCTTGACCGGTCTCGGGCGTATTCCGCCCGCGCCCGCTCGGCCCTGTCGAGGTGGGAAGCGTGATCCTGGCACACCTGACAGGTTTCATGATCAGTGCATGAGGAGAGGTGCAAGTGAAAGGCCTTGCATATTTCACACTCTTCCCCAGCGAGTCGTGTGAAGCCAATGTTGGCCTCTCGGACGGCTTGACGAAACCGCTCCATGGAGCAGATTCTGCCCTTCTCCTCGACCAGGTGACGATACATCGTGGGCACGGATAGGTCGATGGGGAGATACCGGCGATTTGGCGCGTGCAAATACCGGTAATGTGGCGTCAGCGGATGGTAGCGCTCAATGTGCTGCTTTAGCTCTGTAGCCAGAAGTTTCACGCCAGCCGGCGAGGCGCGGCCACGCTCGTCCCTTTTGGGGGATAGCTTCCCGACAGCTGTCAAGATCACCCCATCGCTGGCCTCACTGAAACCCAGCGTTGTTAGGCAGAATTCTTTACAGACACGCTGGTTTCGGCCATTTTCCAACGGGAGTCGATAAACGATGAGCCGCCGCCTGGCAGAGGCAACATCGGTTAACGGAGGGCTGTCAGTCAGAGTCGGGGTCTCATCGGTGACGTGGGTGGCATACCACTGAAGCCTAGCTTCCCTGGGCAGTGAGTTGACAGTTGTATTTATGTTTTCCCTCTGTGCCTGGGATATGTGAGAGGTGCATTCGAACCGGCATTTGCGGTTGAGACATGCTGTAGGAATAGGTCGGACACTATGCTTTTGTTTGAAGGCCAGGATCTGTGAGTCCTGCGTTCTGGCACGTTTTTTAGACTGTCCAGGGGTAGAAGGCTCACAGCTGGTGCCTTCTTCGCGGGGTGTGCGATAGCTTGTCGTACCGCGATCATATTCGCCCCTGTCGCCGTCGGCTCCGACGTCGGGGACAGGTCCAACAGCGGCGCCGAGGTCAGGACCAGCGGGGTCGAGGTAAGTACCAGCGGGGCCGGGGTCAGGACCAGCGGGGTCGAGTTCAGGACCAGCGGGGCCGGGGTCAGGACCAGCGGGGTCGAGTTCAGGACCAGCGGGGCCGGGGTCAGTGCCACCGGGGCCGGGGTCAGGACCAGCGGGGTCGAGTTCAGGACCAGCGGGGCCGGGGTCAGTGCCGCCGGGGCCGAGGTCAGGACTAGCGGGACCGAGGTAAGGACCAGCGGGGCCGGGGTCAAGACCAGCGGGGCCGGGGTCAGGACCAGCGGGGTCGAGTTCAGGACCAGCGGGGCCGGGGTCAGTGCCGCCGGGGCCGAGTTCAGCCCGCACAGGTAGGCCAGCGAGGTCGAGATGATCAGTGGGACCGAGTTCGGGGACACTTTCACCGGCGGGGTCAAAGTTAGGACCTGATAGAGGAACATCGATGAGATCACAGCTGGAAAGGCTACCCAAAAGTCGAATGAAGTTATATGACCCAGTATCAAGAAAATAATCAAGATTGCACAGATCATCAAGCTGTGGCTCGTCGGTAACTGGCGGCAGCTTGGCACCTACGGCATTGACATTGGTTAGCTGATACTCATCCGCTGAAGCACCAGCAGGTCCGACGGCCACCGTCGAGCCGCTGTCGAGGGCCGCCTGAAGATGCTGTCCATCAACACCGTCGGCATCAGCACCAGCAGGTCCGACGGCCACCGTCGAGCCGCTGTCGAGGGCCGCCTGAAGATGCTGTCCATCAACACCGTCGGCATCAGCACCAGCAGGTCCGACGGCCACCGTCGAGCCGCTGTCGAGGGCCGCCTGAAGATGCTGTCCATCAACACCGTCGGCATCAGCACCAGCAGGTCCGGCGGCCACCGTCGAGCCGCTGTCGAGGGCCGCCTGAAGATGCTGTCCATCAACACCGTCGGCATCAGCACCAGCAGGTCCGACGGCCACCGTCGAGCCGCTGTCGAGGGCCGCCTGAAGATGCTGTCCATCAACACCGTCGGCATCAGCACCAGCAGGTCCGGCGGCCACCGTCGAGCCGCTGTCGAGGGCCGCCTGAAGATGCTGTCCATCAACACCGTCGGCATCAGCACCAGCAGGTCCGGCGGCCACCGTCGAGCCGCTGGCCACGGGTGAATACAACTGCGCGCAAAACGAGTGGGTTATGATCAACATGCTCAGTTTATCTCCTTGAGCGAAACATTAGTTGTGACCTTCAGGAATAGTTGGTAGGGGAGGCGGACTGGAAACATCGGATCATACGATTTGATGTTCATTTTATTGTATTGAGTGTCAGGCATGTGTTGAGTGTCAGCAATGATAGCTGCAATGATTGCAATGATAGCAATGATTGCTGATTTTCATGAACATCACAGACCCAGCAGGAAAGCTAGCTATTGCCGCCTCGGTGATTTTTTTTTTCGCTGGAAACATTTGCCATTCACCGGACACCGCTCATTTCGCCCATTGTGAAAGGGAAAAACAATTGTTGTTTAGGTGCGTTTTGGACGTAACACTCACCAGTTGATTTGAGTCCGCAGGTTTGTCCACTGTCGGTGTAGAGACCAGCTCAAGTGCGGGCGTTAGAACCGCACAGGACGCACTACTGGACGCATCTTCATGCCGCATCGCACTTGCACATCGCACTTTTGCCAGCGGCAACTCATCGTCTGACACATCTGCACCATGATAACAGAGTCACATCACTCAATGTTTGTGTTTCATTTTTATTAGCGCACATAATTAATCAAATTTTATTTATTTTAAATGTCATATATTTCCTCATAACCAACATCCTTTGATATGCCCTCGGAGAGAATACACTGCCATTCGGGATAAAACTACCCGTCATTTTCCGCTGGAGGCTGAAATGTTATCCTTAACGAGACTCGCACGTTTTAACGGACTACACGATGGCTATATTCGTTAAAATCCTATGTTGAAGGCGTGCTATTTTCTTCAAATGTAGGCATCTTACCTTGAACTAGGAGGCGTGCGGCCAAGGGGCTGACCGCTACGGTGCCCGTCCACGCTCGACCACCCGAATGTCGCATGCTGACCCGTGAGCCGGCGGCAATAGTCCCGGAACACTTCAGCGACTTCACGGGGACATAGTGATAGTCACCTCGACTTGTGTCGTCCCAGTCAACTCTTACATATACGTTGCCTCTGCGTGTCTTAAAATCTGCGTCAATCGGTACACCTGGTATCGGTCTCTTTCGCTTTCTCCCCATCCTATCATAAATCACGATCAAGAACTGTCACCTGTCACCAAAGACACTACTTAAGCCAGCGCGGAGCGAAAACGATCAGCTTAAATTGCCCGCCATGGCGCCAAAACTTGTTATTGTTTACGTTCCTTGATTTTTTTAGTGAAGCACGTGCTTCGGTACTGATGACAGGCGGCAAGTTTTTAATGGGGTTTTAAATTAGCGTGTCCATTTTAGACAGTTCAGAAACATGATTATCTCAGGCATTATTGAAGTTAGGCCTTCTCTGCGCGTGTATTCGTTTATTATGTTATCACGGCAATAAACTTACTTAAGACATCACAATAATCAACGATGAGATTAAAAGTCTACCAAGATCACAACATGACAAAATGTCGTGCATCCTCCGCCGTGCTGGTATCAAACACGCCACTCCGGGTCCACGCGTTTCTTCCTTTGGTTTTCGAGCTGCTACGAGCGTAAACCGCAATGGAAGAAACGGGTGAAATCTCACGCGTTTTTTCCTTTGGCCCCTTGGACCAATTGCACCCACCTCGCAACTGACGCTATTTTGCCAAACTAAGATAGGTCATAACTTTTTCAAATAACATCAGATTGTTCCAAAATTGGTATAGTAGGATGCGTCTTGAGAAGGGCTATCGATTGATATAAAAAAACAAAAATGTCAAAAATCGAGTTACGCGTTTCTTCCTTTGGACGGCAGAGGACCCCAGCTACACCAGGAATGAATGTTTTGGTCAGAAATTATGCCAATGTCAGTGGCAAAAGTTAAGCAAAAATTATGCCCATTTTTAACCTTTTTTAATGCTTTTATAGTTGACCTGAACATTGATGAATGAACAAATTCAACACCAAAAGTATTCCATTTTCTTGTACATTGCGCGGCTCCCTTAGTTCAGCTAGTACAATGACAAACTATATTATATTGTTATAAACTGTTGTATGCAATTACAAATTGTAACGCCCAATGTCGGTAATCACTTACCATTACTTAATTCAAGGCATGTTGGACGTTTGGAACTCAAACTCAGGTAATGACTAGTCAGGAGCAGGAATGATGCTGAGGGAAACAAAACATCACATCTGTGTCCTTTGTGTCACATTTCCAGGGATTATCTTACTGGATTCAAGAAGAGGAAACAGGAGAGACGTGAAACTGCTGCCAAGAAGTTTGATAAGCGATTCAAACAAGAGAAAAATCGTATCAGACAGGAGGTTGGTTCACTTTGAACAAATGCATGGCCTTACTGAATTTCAGTTTTTCTCTCATTTAACTTATACTTTTTGGTGAATTGGATAGTAAGTCAAAATAAATTAAAGCTTTTGGAAAAGCTAATTATTTTGTCATTGACCTTTTGGGATAGCACGCACATTGGTACAGCATGCACATTGATAACCACTGGCATGGCAACAGGCCACTTAAGCCAGTCTTTGCATGTGGCTATCAAAAATATTTTGTTACAGAAACGCAGTAAGCTACCGACACATGGGCCGACGGTGCTTCCCGACAACATGCTGATCTCGGAGGACGCGGAGCCCGCAGCGGTGACCCACGATCTGGAGAAGCACACCGTCAGTGTGACCACCATCTCCGACCTGGATCTCACGGCCGGCGGACTCTTCCTTGGCAAGAACGCGGTGCGTATTTCGCCACTGCTGCCTTGACATGGCAGATAACGTGCCTAGAGGTCAGATGTGCACATTGCGAAATAAGCGGGGCTAACTAGACAATGTCGTCAGTGATGGCAATTCGCGGTGGTGAGAGTCGGCAAGGACGAATCTGGATGTTTTTTAACTGATTCCAGTGTTCACATAAGGAGAGATTATGACGGGGACGGTGGTGGGTTTTATCCTTTTCATGCGGACGTGATCCTACGTCCGGTGAGCATGTGATTTGCAACCAATTCTGTAGTTTCCTTCATCTGATAATCGATGAATTGTCTGCAAGCCTAGCACTTCAGTAACACTTGGCAACGGGCAAAAAGGTAATAGATACTTGACCCAGATTCTTTCACTTACAGTTGCCAGCGGCGTCCCAGGACGAGGAAGAGGAGGATCAGCCAGAACCGGAGAAAGATGATGAGGTGCTGGGGATGGAACTGAAGGCGACGCCGGCCCCCAAGGCAGCTGAGAAGCCGGTCTCACAGCGATCGCGGCAGAACATCCTGGAGACCAAGGCCCGTCTGCAAGAGAAAAAGAACAAGCAGAAGAGCAAAAACCTCCAGAAGCACAAAGCGAGGATCAACAAGAAGCACATGAAGCTCAGCCATCAGCTAAAGAAACAGAGACGAAAAGGCTCAGCCGCATAGAGAACGTTTTTCTAAATGCTATCCAAATTGTTCTTTTCTTGTAAATATATCAACACATCACACTCCCACGGTTTCATTTCTTCGCCAGCTAGTATATGTTCGGTAGATTAGATACCCTAAAGGAGAATTTGTACCAATAAATGAAACATTTTATTTACTTTTGTACCAAGTGACTAGAAATGGTGCAAAATGGAAAGACCACACCGACGCTCAATAGGTTACAAGCAAACACCTATCGCGGGTGTCAACAGCCGACGGACGGATCATATGCTCTTCTGAGCACTCAGCACATCATCGAACTACAAGCCATACACATTTCTGCGATCACAGTTGTGCAAAGAATAGAAACCGTGCAAACTGGAAAGACAAACAGTCATAGAGAGACACGGTTACCGCGAACACAGACATTGAGATCAGTGTGGTGGAAGCCTTTCAGTGAGCCTTTCCATGGAAGCTGCGATGCATAGCAGCCGTCGCTATCGCATACATTTCAGGCAGTGTGCCAACTGGCAACTGCCCAGTCCTGCTTAGTGCAGCAATATTCCGTGGCTGCCACTTTTTAAATGAACTAACACGTTATCCACATTTGTGTGAACTACGCTAGTCGATTCGCAAGCACGATGCAGCAACTTTTGAGTCCATGAAAAAATACCAGAAATACCAGAGGGGTTCTTTCAAGTTGACTATCATTTCAGCAGGCAGCCATACCGTGATATCCTTCCTCAGGCTCAATAGCAATGAGAACCGATAGCATAATAGTGCTTTTCAGCCTCCAATATCGCCACACCAAGCCGGTCACCGGTGGAAACCCTGGCGTCACAGTTCGTCCTCCGGGAGTTCCTCTTCCGTCGGTTCCGCCGCGGCCGCCACCGACTCTCGCCGGGCGCCGCCGGACCTCCTCCGCGGAGGTGCCGAGGCGTCAAAGTAGTTCCGGAAGGCGCTGTGCAGCATGGCCGCTCTTTGCAGCTCATCCTGCCTGCAGACACAGGGAAAATGTTGGGTAATGTTCGGGTTAGAGAGAGCTGGGTGGCATGTCATAAAGTGGTGCAGACGTGGAAGAAATTATACAGCAATGGCTTCACCATGACGAGGATGATGGTGCACTTTTAAAGCATGACTGAACAACAGTTGAACAATTACTATTTGAGCGCCATGGTCAATCAATTTCTGTTTGTCAGCTCTAGCGCCTTGACCTCAAGCTGGTCCTATACGTACTTGTGTCTGATCATTTCTGTTTCGCGTCGCTTCAGCTCGTCGCGCAGTTTTCGGACCTCCTCGCGTCGCCGTCGGGTCTCGCGCTCCAGCTCCTCTTCGCGCTGCGCCAGCTGAGTGCGCGTCTGAAGTGGTACATGTTGGTCAAGATATGGGGGACGAAGTTCGGGGCAAGTTGGCCTGGCTTTCAGGCTGAACTGGATACACAGAAGGAATCAGTTAATGCCAGATCCTACCGCGAAGTAAAGTGAAATTATGTTATAGCTGACCTTTAATTGCTCATAGTTGCGATACCCTCAATAAGATTTTAGCAGATAATATTCGACGTTCAAAGTAATCGTGCTTTATCAGCAAACGCTTAAGTTTTATCCACTCCAACAGAAACTCCTCTAGATCAGAGCGTATGCACACAGAGCCCATCTCTTTGAGATCTGTACTCAACACGACCGTCCGGACTAACCTCTGCCAGCGCCGCCTCGGTCTGCTGGTGCCGAGTCTTCTCGGCCTCGACCCTGTCCAGTTCGGTCTGTAGGTCGGAGCGCACCCGCGCCACGGCCGTCTGCACCTCGCGCTGCTTCAGCTCCAACTCCTGTCGGTGAAACTCAGTCGGTCAAAGCCCACCTTCCTTGTTGATCGAGGCTTAAAGGTGTGCCGACTACTAGGGTCATCTGCGCTCATCAGAGCCAGTCTATAAGATCGGTGCCGTAAAATGACTTGTTTCTTTTTACGGCTGGTTGGCTCAAATGACGTGAGTTTTACGCTTGCTGGAAGTTAATGAGGCCTCGTTTAAATATGAGTCCCAAAATTTACAAACAATCTAAGTGAGCCGTTTGTCTGGTGAAACTCAGTCGCAGGGTTCAGCGCCTGCCGAGACAAAGTCAGGTACCGAGGGAAGTTCACCTATTCATGTCGACTATTGCCATACCTTCATCAAGCACTCGATCTCCGACTTGCTGGAACGATTCTCCAGCTCTGCCTGACGGAGTTTGTCCTGCAGTCTTTGATTGGTGGTTACCAGCTCATGTTTCTCTTGACTGACCAATGAGAGCTGGCCGTGGGCGTGGTCAATCTGCGCCTGCAGCGCCTGGCACCGGTCATTCTGCGAATATGGTAATGAGGTGTGATGAGTCTCCGGGATTCCAGTGATTTGAATTTCCATTGTTAGCCGATACACAGCGGGGAGATAGTATAACTGCGACTGCCTAATTTTTCATCTCTCCATATACAGTTTGTTAGAAAGCAGCCCACTAACCTGATGGACAGCAAAATCATTTCATACGATATTAGCACAATCACAGATAACAGTTATAGCACATCGGTTACAAAATATGAGGCTCATGACGTCCTAACGTGCCATATTCACAAAAAGGCATCTCAACACCAGGCAATTATGGAATAAAGTAACAAGACAAGTGAGCATCCTTACAGTCCTCCGACTCACCTCTTGTTGTTTGAGCCTCAGTCGGAGCGCTGCCAGCTCGTCCTGAGTCTCGCGGGAGGCGGCGTACAGTCTCTGAGACGCCTCCTGTAGCTGAGACTCGAGCGCCGCCCGCTGCTCGTCGCCCAGCCGCAGCTGGTTCTGAAGGGAGAGATACAGAACATGAAATATGGACGCAACGCCGTGACTGTGAGCCGGGCGAGTGACATGTCAACAACAGAAATGGCCATCAGGACGAAGAATAGAACAGTGCAGAGCAGAGGCATAACCATTGCCGGTCGTGCACAGTTGTTCAATTGTGACATTGGAAGATCACGGCTGTACACAACCAACAAGCATGGTATGAGCCGATCCCGCCATCCATTCGATCAGCACGACAAAATTAGGTGTCATTCTATAAGGATGGCGTATGAAGGTGCAGCCTGCGACTGCAGGTGACCTCTCACCTGCAAGTTTTTACAGGTGACGGCCGCCTGCTCTTTGACCTGAGCCACCTCCTTTCGGCGGAGTTCATCGGCAGCCTCCGCCTCAGCGCGGCGGCGCTGTTCCTCTCGATCAGAGACGGCTGTAAAGCGATGCCAGAGGTCAGGATACGTCACTGAGCGCATCGATCATGATAAGATCATTAGTTACTACTCAACCACACCGGATACTGCTACCATAGGACATCAAAGTTCGACACTGAAAACATCAGTTCAAGGGTCGGCACAAGTCTCCAATCTCAGACGACAAACTGGCTGAGCACAAAAATATTGTTCGCCCTCAGGTGCGTACATCGTTAGGGGTTACAGGTGCATAATAGGATGCTTCCCAGATTTCCTAGCTGCTACCTCCTTCGCACACCACAGTCAAGATCCCTCAGGGCAAGGCCCACAGGTATCGTCCCATTCAAGCACCACCAAACTGCCGTCATTCTTACAGATCCAACTGTGTCGCCGTCCCTCACTCACCCTGGATCTCGTCCCGGAGTGTGCCGACCGTGGCCTGGAGCCGGAGCGTCTCCTGCTGGAGCTGCTCGGCCCTGGAGCGCTGCTCCTGCGCGGCACGCTCCGTCTCCAGCCGGCCGCGCCGCTCCTCGGTCAGGCGCCGCTCCTGGTCCGCCGAGCGCTCTTCCTGCTCCTGACGACTTCGCTCCAGTACCTGAGGGCACAGTCGCCGGAAGGGTGAGATCGTGACAGCCGTGGACGCAGGACGGAAACGGAGGAACGTTTGATGGAAGATATGGTGACTGTGATGAGATGTAGTGGAAGGTGAGGGAACGCTTCACGCTTAAAAGAGTTGAGGCGATACGGCGTGGTTGAAGATGTCACCATGACTCAGGGCAGCAGCTCAGTTCGGTATCCTCGAAAACATGCCATGAGGCAACGTTCATTAAACGTTACTTGTTTGTGGTGTTCGAGCTGTTCCGAGTTAGCCTTCTTTTGAGCAGCCAGTTCAGCCTGCAAGGTCTTCACTTGCTCCTGGAGTTCAGTTCTGCCAGCATAATGATTTACAGATAATGATTGTTTGACATGGTTGCAACTAGACTGATAACCTGATCAAAGTGCGACATTCGTTGGTATGCAAGGAAACCTGGCAAACACCAAGGTAGATGAAAGTGGACATCCCGGCTTTTCATTGCAATCATGAACACGAATCTCCTTTCAAAAGCCAGTGTTCCGACACAAAGTGGAATAAATTTGCTATCTTCGCAATCTCAGAAGAAAAAATATACTCTCCAAAGAAATCACGTACTGTCTCTGTGACAACTTACTTGTCCTGTTGCGCTGCGGTCAGCGCCGCCTGGGTGTTAGCCAGGGACGCCTCCACGGCGGAGAGTTTGGACGCCAGCCGCTCTGCCGCCTCCTTCCTCTCGTCAAGGGCCTCCTGAAGCTGGCCCAACTGAAAGTTCATGTCCCTGCAACATGTGCGCGGGACAATGTCCAAACGGGGCTTTTAGTCGAGGGTTATCGGTGGCTGTTATCGGAATACACCAAAAAATCGGTAAGGGAGCTATGTATGTAGAATTAGATACATCGTTGGATCGACTGCATAGCATCCAACATTCATGGTATGCGGGTGACTCTGCATTACACACATTGGTATGTGATGCAGACCCATCAGACGCCCATGACCATTAGCACTCTATCGTCTATCAGTCGGTTGGAGAACCGGCCTGAAGTTCGGAGAAGTCCGCTACTTACGCCTGCAGTCCAGAGAAGGACGCTCGCTCTGTCTGCAGGGTCCTCACGACGCCCTCGACCTCCCGGCGCCCCGCCCGCTCTGTATCCTGTGGAAAGACACAGCATACTTAAACCACAGCTAATAACCGTCCTCACGACGCCCTCGACCTCCCGGCGCCCGGCCCGCTCTGTATCCTGTAACAAAGCAGCAGTTAGAACCGTCGGTAATTATCTGTAACGTCACGCCACTATTTCACCGAGCTACAGCAAACACCGAACTGCTCTTCACATCTCAACAAAATCTTATCATCTGCAGATAGGCATTGGAAAGAATACATCGCCGCACCCGCACCTGAGAGATGTTGTTCGATGTCGCATCAACGCGTACTTTTTACGTGTGCCTGCATCGGCATAATTACATCGTAATTTGTATGTACGCTGCATCTGTGAGGCTTCACGCACCTGTATTTGTGCGGTGAGTAGCGAGCGTTCGGCGGTCTTCTGCTCCTCCGACTCCAGCAGCTCTTGGTTGTTACGGACCCGACACGCTGAAGAAAGTCCGATGTTTGTCAGTCAGAACTCAGAAGGTAACGGCATCGCTGAACGGCACGACACGTGACCGACAGAAGAAGCGATTATATTCGACAACTTAAAGGCGCACACAAACTACTGCGGTGGGACCTCCGCCCTACTCGAATCAAATGTGTCCTGAATAAAACACTGATAGAGCTCGAGACCGAAGCAACGATAAATTGCCGCAAACATGCACATAAATCAGGATTAGATGCAACCTTATTCTCCTTCACTAACCTATCGTGTGCAGCAGGTCCGGCGGTAGAGCGTTACCGTCCACGGGGCACGAGACCAGTGTCCTGTTGGCCTGGAGAGCGTCCACCAGTGCCCGGCCGCCCAACACGCCGATACCGTTCCAGCGCATGTCTGCAAAATGTGAAACGTGGTTACAGAGGACTGTCAGCGGTTGATGGGACTTGTAGAACGCGTGAGAACAAAGATGTTTTAGCATCGTGCGCAAGCAAAAAAAAAAACAAGCATCTTATAAATACACGACAGCAACATGCGTGGCCCGTTTAAATCACTCGCCTCACGACAGCCCGGTCAGAATACATCTAACGCCATCCGATCCGCTATTGTACATTTCTTGTTGGTCAGTACGGCATACACAGTGTAGGTACATTTGGCAACACGTACAGGTCTCGCGGGTTTTAGCGGTAGGTTTTGCACCTAGAAAATTTAGTGTACTTCATGCTATATCTTCGTCGTCTTCAGCTTTTAAGTGTTGAAGATGCGATCGACTTGTTGGTTCACAAGCCAGCCATGATCGTGTAAAATGGCTTTATCGTAGATCGATTAGTTTCTGAGATATAACCGGAAACGTAAAAGTGCAAAACCTACCGCTTAATCTCGCGAGAGCCCTACATCCCCTGCGGCGACACTCGGCTCTCCTCTGCTCGTTACTCACCGAGGTGCCGCAGTCTCCGGTTGCCGGCCACGGCCCGCGCCAGGTGACCGGCACACTGGTGGTCCAGCTGGTTACTGCGCAGGTCCAGCGACTTCAGAGACTTGTTGGTTCGCAGCGCCTCCGCAAACAGTTTGAACGAGCCCGGACTCAGGCCTGTCAGACAGAGACAGGTGCAGTGTTGGCATACTGAGGCCGACTGCATAAAAAGGCACACTATCGGCGAATTCGCAAAACAAAATCAATTTTGATACAAATAATAATATAGTGCACTTTTAGTGCAAACCTTTTAGAACGAACATGAACAAACATGAACAAACATGAACGAAATGATTTTGAAGCCACCGATGATGAAGCACCAAATTTTGTATCAGGTGCATCGCATAAAAAGGGCGAGATGTCCTTCCTCATCGTCTCCGGCCCAGACAATCAGTAATTGTTTGGCATGCGTCGTCGAGCGTTCCCCGCAGCTGGGTCCAGTATTTACCCAGATTATTCCACTCGAGAGTTAGCGTTTGCAGGTGTCTGTTCTTCCTGAGGAGGGTCGCCAGATGCTCGGTGCCCGGTCCCCGCACGTTGTTACCCCGGAGCTCCAGCTGGGTCACAGATGTGTTCAGACATAATCCCAGACATAGGGCCTGCAACAATGAAAGGTAAACACAGCCTGATGGGAAGAGAATCAGACAGTGACAGGTCACTGCACACAATATTCACCACTGGTCTCTTATCAATGCAGACTGCAGTATCCTTGGTGAAACCTAGCCTGGATGACTTTAGATGGCTTTAGATGCCAGCTGAGCCTTCCTGTTGCATATCAAAGCATGAACTCAGCACCCTAAACTGAACCCAGCTCACAAGATTTGCTCACTCACTGACATTACCTGACATTGATAGTTTCACCAAAAATGCATCATGAAAGCAAAACAGTTCTCTGGGTCATTTAATTGGTAAGTCCTTTTAATTATCATTCCTTTTAATAGTCATTTAATAAGATGCACCTGGATTTGAATATGATGCTTAGCTCCTGTCATGACTAGTTCACATTTGAGACAGACATCTTATTCACTGGTTACTACAGAAGCTTACATATACTATCAGTATGCAGTACATAACTGTGTGAAAATGTCAAATATTTCAATATGATCAAAACAAAACTGAATAGTAGTCATAGTAGTCCAAATAAAATAAAAGATTGAACAGTCCAGGACTCACCTTGAGACTGTCCTCAGAGAGCAGACAGTCATTGAGGAGCAGCTGCTTGACATCACCAGAAGTGGAGAGCAGACTGCCAAGCACGGCTGCCTGCTCAGACGTCACATCTCCACTGGAGAAGTCCAGCAGACCATCACAGCTGCTGGCAGGATATGATCAAAACCAGATGATGTAGGACGTAAGTGGGTTTGATTATTGTAGGTTTTCTTTCAGCACCTTTTATTATTGGCAATTTGAATTCTTAAGAGGATGCTGAAACAACACTTAACCTTAAAAATCTAAACCATGTTTCCTAGACAAATAAATCCATGCAAGGTTGGTGGTTCTATTGTGACACATTGAGGAAAGAGAAAGATAGTCAACATCCATTCACTAACTTGGCCCCTGGGTCACAATGACATAGTGAAAGCAAACAAGGAAATCTGATAACTGTAACAGGCAGTCACAGGAAAATTTGTATTTTCTTAGTTTTTCTCAGCACAGGTGAAAATTAAGACAAATTGATAGATAATTAATTGCAGATACTAGGTCAACAAAAGTTGCCCCTGGTCCTGACGGCCTGCATCCGAAACTGTTGCAGCTTGCCTCCGCGGCCTTGGCTGGCCCGCTGTCCAACTTGTACCGCGAATCCCTGGAGCAAGGTATTCTCCCCTCGATTTGAAAGTCAGCTACAGTGGTTCCAATCCACAAGAAGGGAAGCAGAAGTACCCCGGGGAACTACCGACCCATAAGCCTGACGTCCATCCCATGCAAGGTCATGGAATCTCTAGTGCGCGATGAGTTGGTCGAATTTCTGACATCCACCGGCCAGCTGTCTAGACGCCAGCATGGGTTCCGTCCCCGAAGGTCCTGCTGTTCCCAGCTGCTGGAGGTGCTGGAGGACTGGACTAAGATGCTCGAACAAGGAGATGCGGTTGACGTGGCATACCTGGATTTTCGTAAGGCGTTCGACGCGGTACCACACATCCGACTTCTGAAAAAGCTTAGGTGCTTTGGGATCTCAGGCAAACTCTTGAAGTGGATTGAGGTCTTCTTATCCGGGCGCAAACAAGAAGTGGTCGTGAACGGATGCCACTCGAAACTAACTGCCGTCAGGAGTGGTGTACCTCAAGGCTCAGTTCTGGGGCCCCTCTTGTTCCTGCTGTTCGTTAACGACATACCCTCTGTGGTCGACTGCTCAGTAAAGTTGTTTGCTGATGATACGAAGCTCTACCGGTCAATACAGCAAGAAAGTGTCTCCCGCTCAGTAGCCGCCGAGGTTGCGGGGCTGGCTGTCGCTCAATCCAGAGCTGGCAGAGACCACCCCACCAAAGACACCCAGCCGGCGAGTGATGAGCAAAATCGTAACCCCGTCAGTACTCTGCCGCAGGCTGATGCGGAGGGAGAGGTGGCTGTCTCTCCTAACGGAGATGTCAGAAACCACTCTGCCCAACCATCGCCCATGCAGCTGGCGCGAGACCCAACGGTAACGACATCGCTCCAAGGCGACATTGATGATCTAGTGGCATGGTCCGACCGCTGGCAGCTCCCATTCAACGAGGGGAAATGCAAAATCCTGCACCTGGGACGCAACAACCCTCGGGTCAAATATGCCATCCGAGGAGTTGAGCTGGAGGGGGTCGAAGCCAAGCGCGATCTTGGTGTCTTCGTGGACTCATCGCTCAAGTTCCGCAAACAGGCTGCTGCTGCTGCGGCGAAGGCCAACCAGATCCTAGGAATCATAAAACGGTCATTCGAGCTTATCGACAAGTCCACCCTCCCACTGCTGTACAAAACACTTGTGCGCCCACACTTGGAATACGGCAACGTGGCATGGGGCCCATTCAATCGCTCTGACCAACTCCTGATCGAACGTGTCCAGAGGAGAGCGACGCACCTGGTAACCCAAATCAGACACCTTCCCTATGAAGAGCGCCTACGAGAACTGAAGCTGCCTTCGTTGTTCTATCGGCGGCGGCGAGGCGATATGATCCAAATGTACCAACTGATGCATGGAGGTGTTGACCTGGCTCCGGAAGAGTTCTTTACTGCTTCCACGGACGGTCGTACTCGAGGCCACTCGCAGAAGGTCCAGAAGCCCAGAGCCACCACCAGACCAAGGAGGAAATCGTTCAGTGTGAGGGCAGTCAATGACTGGAATGGCTTGCCGCAGATGGTAGTTGACGCTGCCAATATCGAGCAGTTCAAATCAAGATTGGATGCCCACTGGGCAAACATCAGGTACATGGTACCTGATAGGAGCTAGAAAGGTCCAAAAAGGTCACGAGCTCGATTGGAACGGTTCCCTACAGGCCAAGTGGCCTCTAAATTTCGATCAAATTAAGGTAAGGTAAGGTAAGGTAAGTGTGCTGTGGCCATTCCATTGGGTAAAACCAATGGGTTCACATTATTTTGACAGGCATGGATATCAATATTTTGCTTTACATCACAACATGGTAATTGGTAACAATCGTGAGTGAAAATTTGAACTTACTCATCAATCGAGAGATGCTCAAGAAGTGTTTTTGATGGACTTATATCAAACTCCTTACAAAGAGCCTTGAATTTCTCTTCTAAATTCTTCATGTTTTTGTTTGTATTGTTGCATAGCCCAAATTCCAAAACACACTCAGGCAGAAATGGGAAGTGATTTTGGTAAGCGTGTAAAAGTCGTCATTTTTACGTGATTTTTACTATATTTATATGCGGTGTTCTACTGGTCCCCTATTCAATGATTTATTCCAAGAATAGACAACAACAATGAGCAAAGGTCACACACTATAAATCAGTTGATCAATTTGGAGGATTTCCAGCACAAACATGAGATCCGTGTTAGTATTCGGAATTCGGTGCTTAAAAACGATGCAGCGAAGTAACTAGGCAACAGACAACTATTAATGGCCGTTGCTAGGCAACCTCTAAGTACTAGCAGAAAAATTCAAAATAGAACACATTTAAATGGATGTAAAGTGCGCATATTTTGTCATAAAAGCGCTAATTGGAGCTGCAACATAATTTTTAATATCAGGCGAAATAACAAATCATGAAAAACTTTTTCCCTTTCGCCTTCCGGCTCCCCCTACATTAGTCCTCTGAAAACCAAGCGGCAGGGGCGCGGGAACTACTTTAAGACTGGGGGGGGGGGGGGGCACACCATAACAGAGATCAACCTAGGGTGCCCCCAAAATCTAGTTTTCTCACCGGTTTTAGGCCACTTATTTTTCATCCCTTTGCGTTTTGTTTAACAAAAAGAAAACATTTGCAAAAAATGCGGTAGTTCTCTATATACCGTGAATGCGGTATTCCGCCTCAAAGTTGTGGGGCGGAATTCCGCCTCATAGACGCGGCCCCAGAGTTGGGGGAGGCCAAGCTTCTCTCACTGCCCCCCCCCCCCCTGGTTCCCGCGTCTATGCCAAGCAGTCTAAGCCATGTTTCCCCCAAGGCCGTCGAAGTCGACTCTTCGCGGCAATTAGTATGTTCACGTTGAATGTGAATCTATCATGAATCGGGCGCGAGTTCGCGAGGAAAATAACCAATGGAACACGTTCGCAATGACATTGAAGTATGAACGGTTCGGTCTCGCGGCGCGGCTACGCGACCCGACCGAACGAAAATAATTTCTGCCTAATATTTACTCGTAGCTCTACAGTCCCACCGTCCCTTGGACGTGCTTAGCCCTGGACCCTGGTGCAGGTCTATGTGTATGTCCCCACTCCCCCCTTCCCCATATTATGTAGGTACAAAATCTTGGGAGTAGTGGAAAAAAACATGATGCACCCCTCAGTTGCCTAATTGTCTGGCAAGTGGCAAGTGGGACGGTTGCCAAGTGCTCGGCTGTCATGCCTAGGAAACTAAAATACTACAAGAGAGGAAGTTCCCAGTAAACATGCCGACGTCGGCCCGACGTCGGCCGACGTCGGGGTGACGTCGGCAACTCGGCATCAGCATGCCGACGTCGGCCCGACGTCGGTCCAACCTCGGCACGACGTCGGCTGGATGTCGTATATGCCCGCATGTTCCGACGTCCAGCCGAGGTCCAGCCGACGTCGGGCCGACGTCGGACCGAGATCAATTGCTGAGGTCCAGCCGACGTCGGGCCGACGTCGGGGCGACGTCGGACCGACATCGGCCGCTGTTTTGACTGTTAAAATAATATAAAATACATGTTTCATGTTTCATAAAGAGCTTCTGTATTCAAAATATCCTCAGGAAACTCAAATCTTCCTCCACGCCGCAACCCCCTGATCCGGACTGGACGGGAAACTTTATCCCATGATTTGGGATTGCCCGTAAGCCGAGCTCGCCCGTAGCCGGGTGTTGGGGGCTGCTCGGCCTATCCTTTGGTCAGGCTCAGCCCCGGCAACTCACGAGGGCCGGGCCCAGTTCATATAGAAAGGCCAGTCGGCAAGTGTCACTTTGCCAAAGTGCCACTTATCAAAGGGACACTTTGGGAAACGTTGGTGCAGGTGTATAAGAGTGGCTATATGAACCCATTGTGGGGTCGCCCTTTCCAATAAGTGTCACGTAACAGCAATGGGACCAGGGACTCTATATGAACTGGACCCAGGGTGCTCGCCAAGAAGACCAATGTCTCCATCCTATGATCTTTCCGGCTCTGAAATGGTCTTGTCAGACCGAAAGGGCATAACCCAACAAATTCGTTAGCTGGCTGCGTGGTGTAGTGGTTAGCGCACTAGCCACTAACCTCGCGTTCGAATGGCACGGGGTTCGAATCCCGTCGCCGGCTGATGCTTTTGGCGTGTTGTCCCAGTAAACATGCCGACGTCGGCGACTGGGGGGCTCGAATCCCGCCGCCGGTTGATATTTTTGGCGCGTTGTCCCAATAAACATGCCGACGTCGGCCCCGTCGGTCCAACGACAAACGATCTCGTCAACCTCGGCAAACGATCTCGGCCCAACGTCGGCTCGACGTCGGCTGGACTTCGGCTGGACGTCGGAACATGCGGGCATATCCGACGTCCAGCCGATGTCGGGACGAGGTTGAACCGACGTTGGGCCGACGTCGGGCCGAGCCTCGGCCCGACGTCGGGCCGACGTCGTCATGTTTACTGGGTTCCTATCCTATCCTACCCAATTCTCATGTCTTACCTATCGACGGCGGTATTTTTATGTGATAAGATAAAGGGTTTGTTCCCGTCGCTCCTCTAACCTCCTCCAAGCTCCTCTAACCTCCTCTCGTTTCAAAAAATCGTTCCCGTCGCTCCTCCAAGCTCCTCCAAGCTCATCTTGATTTCACATCTCACCACCACTATTTGCCTCCTCCCTCATCCCAAACGGACAACACTATTCGACCGCCACCCTTGCAGCCATTCTATAACCCGCGCCCCACTGGGGGGGGGGGCTATTTATAGCCCCCCCCCCTCCCGTTTTTCTGCAATAACTTCCAAACCGCTTGACTAATCGACGCCAAACTTTCAGTACCTTCGGCTGCATCAATTTGACACCTTGTGTCAAAATTTGAACTTCGTAGCTACCATAGGTCGGCCGGAAATGACGTCAGAGTGACGTCATGTTCGTCCGATTTCGACGCAAAACATTGAACCACGGCAATCGCTCCCAAGAGCTCAGTTTTTAAGCTAGATCCAATTTCTTTGCATGAAAGGACTCAGAATTGACCGCGCTATCAAACTGCTATCTCGGATTTTCAAAATTTTGAAATTTTCGAAAATTTTATATAATAATATTCAAAATTTATATTTTTATATTTTTTTCAAAAAGTTTTTGACTTTTCGAAAAAAACCGGAATATATGTGACAGAACGCATGATTATAACTAACTCTAGCAAGTTTTAGCTAAATATCTTCAAAAATGGCCAAGTTATACGCATTATTGCAAAAAATTCACAATTATTAATTTTTCAAATCAATTTTTCAGTACGTATTTGGCATCGTACACCAATATGAATGGCACCATCGTGTTCCTGAGCTCAAACTGCATCCAATAGATACCTTTTTTGTTGAAAAATTTCAACTTCAAAATTTGACCTTTTTTGACCTGAAAGTGACCTGACCTAAGCTAATTTCGACTCAAAATGACCTTGAATGACACAGACGATATCAAATTCGAAATCTATGGCCTAAATGGACCATAAAACATGTGTCACGTGACCGACGCATGATATAATATTTTCGTGACCTGTGATGACCTGACCCTGACCTGAAAATCAAAGTACAAGTTTGGTACCCTCAAGGTATCTAGAGCATCTGTTCACGAGTGTGGAAACCAAAAATGAGCCTGATCTGACTTGTATGACGGCGGCCAGAGCCCAAAATGTGAACAAGCCAAAGTGCTAATAATTTTTACTTTGACCTGACCTGTGACGTCATCGGTGACCTCGAGGTCAATGAAATTAGGTTTCGCTCGACAGTTTTTCCGGGGCTATCAGACGCCGTTTGAATTTTGACAATCGGCCCAGTAGTTTCGGAGTTAGGAGGGGGGGGGGGCTATGAATAGCCCCCCCCCCCCCCCCCAGTAGGGCGTGTTATACACAGACCCCAGTGGGGCGCGGGTTAACTCAGGAACTACTGGACCGATCGGAACGAACGAAACACCATTCGAATCAGGGGGCACGATTTTATCAGCCGTTTCGAAGCTCGTGACCCCAGGTGACCTCGGTGACCTCAAGAGGTCAACTCGGCATTGACGCCTATTGCAGCCATTCTATAACTCAGGAACTACTGGGCCGATCGCGACGAAAACACCACCAGTCGAATCAGCGTATGCGATTTCATCAGCCGTTTCGAATATGGTGACCTCAGGTGACCTCGGTGACCTCAAAAGGTCAACTTAACGTTTTCGCCTATTGCAGCCATTCTATAACTCAGGAACTACTGGGCCGATCGTGACGAAAACACCACCAGTCGATTCAGCGTATGCGATTTCATCAGCCGTTTCGAATATGGTGACCTCAGGTGACCTGGGTGACCTTGGGAGGTCACATGACCGATGTGGCCTATGGCAGCCATTCTATAACTCAGGAACTACTGGGCCGATCGTGACGAAAACACCACCAATCGAATCAGCGTATGCGATTTCATCAGCCGTTTTGAATATGGTGACCTCAGGTGACCTCGGTGACCTTGGGAGGTCACATGACCAATGTGGCCTATGGCAGCCATTCTATAACTCAGGAACTACTGGGCTGATCGTGACGAAAACACCACCAGTCGATTCAGCGTATGCGATTTCATCAGCCGTTTCGAATATGGTGACCTCAGGTGACCTCGGTGACCTTGGGAGGTCACATGACCAATGTGGCCTATTGCAGCCATTCTATAACTCAGGAACTACTAAGCCGATCGTGACGAAAACACCACCAGTCGATTCAGCGTATGCGATTTCATCAGCCGTTTTGAATATGGTGACCTCAGGTGACCTCGGTGACCTTGGGAGGTCACATGACCAATGTGGCCTAAGGCAGCCATTCTATAACTCAGGAACTACTGGGCTGATCGTGACGAAAACAACACCAGTCGATTCAGCGTATGCGATTTCATCAGCCGTTTCGAATATGGTGACCTCAGGTGACCTCGGTGACCTTGGGAGGTCACATGACCGTTGTGGCCTATTGAAGCCATTCTATAACTCAGGAACTACTGGGCCGATCGCGACGAAAACACCACCAGTCGATTCAGCGTATACGATTTCATCAGCCGTTTCAAATATGGTGACCTCAGGTGACCTTGGTGACCTCAAAAGGTCAACTTAACGTTTTCGCCTATTGCAGCCATTCTATAACTCAGGAACTACTAGGCCGATCGTGACGAAAACACCACCAGTCGATTCAGCGTATGCGATTTCATCAGCCGTTTCGAATATGGTGACCTCAGGTGACCTTGGTGACCTCAAAAGGTCAACTTAACGTTTTCGCCTATTGCAGCCATTCTATAACTCAGGAACTACTAGGCCGATCGTGACGAAAACACCACCAGTCGATTCAGCGTATGC